TGTGTGTTTGTTTGCAGCCCCTCATGTTGTCATCCGAGTTGTCCGTAGCTCTTCAGTAGAGAGTGGCAACCCAAAGGGTGGATCATTTTAAAAAGGAAAGAATGGTTAAAACAATAGAACTTGTATATATTTCCTAAGAAAAGAAAATATCTGTCTTTTTTGTTTCTGCAATGTCCATCTTTGCGCTTGTACTAAATATCACAAAAGCATTCCGGGCTGTAAACTGCTCTGGTTTCTCCATAGTTCCTGGAGGGTGCCACTATTGAGGTGGACCAGATCCACACTCACATGCGTCCGCTGCTGATGATGCTGGGCGACTACCGAAGCCTGACCCTCAACGTGGTCAACCGCCTGACCTCCGTCACGCGTCTCTTTCCCAACTCCTTCAACGACAAATTCTGTGATCAGATGATGGTAAGAAGTGTCACCTCTTCTTTTTTTTTTTTCCAACACCTAGCAGCTCAGAACATTGTATTCTGCAGAAAAAACTATATTTAGGTTGTTAAGAAGCAGACACAAATTTGGACTGGTTTTGTATATTTTGGCATATGACACTCATTCACACATCAGTGCCACTGGTAGATTTAATTTCTCTAGACAACTCTGTCTTTGACTCGTTCGAGAAACTAATTTCATATTTACTTCTGCCAGCTGAGCCAAACAAACCCACACAACGCACACAAACAATGTCATTTTTATTTCTGTGTTTTTTTCCCCCCCCTCAGCAACACCTGCGGAAATGGATGGAAGTGGTCGTAATAACGCACAAAGGAGGCCAGCGCAGCGACGGCAGCGTAAGTAAACAACGCTCCACAACCTCCACAGCTGTAGCCGCTCGGCTGTAAACGGCGTTCAGACGCACGTCCAGAAACATTCATGGCCAGTAGGTATAGGCCAACATCCCTTATCACCTGCCAAAGCTTCTGTTCAGCTCTTTTGTCGAGCCTAAACCAAACAACACGTGCTGCCGGGGTGGGGGTGGGGGTGGGGGGGGGTTGCTCCTTTTACTCACAAAGCCTTGCTCGTATGTAGTTTACACCCTCTTTGCGTGGCCTCTTCCCAGACGACTTGTGAGTGCCCATATTTCAATCAATGATTAATTAGACTCCACGCAGGCGGCGGAGGGCCCAGCACTGCGCCTCCTCATTATCTCCCCGACAGATAACCTTGTAAAGGAAGAGAAAAGGTGACAGAGAGGGGAAACAGAGCTGCCTCCCCCCTCATCGGCAATTTCTTTGCTCATGTCTCTTTCCGCGAGTTCATCCTGACTCATCTCAAAATTGTGCGTTTAATTAGATGCAAATTGGCCTTTTGTCTTGCCTGCCCTCCAAAATGTGGTCTTTGTGCTTGTTGACAGGAAGTCTGACAGTGACAGTTGAGCCAGGGTCAGGGAGACAATTAGCTCAGACCGATCAAGACAAAAACTGTAAGGAGGGCCGGGGCAGGGCTGAGGTAAAGGGATTGTGTAGCCATCACAGGTTTGAGAGTGAGGAGGTGATTAGGCAGCAGGGATAGCATGGTGGGAAGAGAGTTTGTGAGAGGAAGGGAGACTAGTTTAATTTCAGCGTAATGCCAAAGGTGTCACTTTTTTTCCGTTTCCTCGACTCGACTGCAACTCGACCGTCATCCCAATATAAATTCTGGCTCCTTATTCAGCGAGTGCCAGGAAAAGGTGTCTCTGTGGTCATTTGTAAGTTGTTCCGCCCTTTTACGGCCATCCCTTATCTGCTCCCCCTCTGCACCGAACAAGGGCAGACGACACACAGCCACACAAATAACCCTCATGTTGTTGTGCTGACTCTGATCATTGTCTCCCGTTCTGGTACAGCCTGCGATGGAGGGTGTCGAGGTGAGATGCAACCCGGTGTTGCGCCCCCCCCCCCCCTGTTAGTGACTCTGTCAGTGATTGAAACCTTGAAACTAATGTCGTAGTAGTGGTGGACTTGCCCTGTATTTTATTTATTTATTTATTTTGTGTCCGTGTGTCTGTGGTCTTGTTCGGGAATGTTAATGTCATCGTAGATTCACTCCTAACCTCACAATCAGACTGTCCCGTTGAGAAATGTCCAATTCCCAATGTTCTTGTCCTGATTTTTGCACTTTGAGGGTATCAGTAACTGACAGTTAATCAAAATGACCGTGCATATTGTCCTTTTTTTTTTTGTCTGTACCGTGTCCCAAATTTCAATTCAAAACTCACGTGTGCTCTGCCAGTGGGACGCTAACACACTTAACTCTGTAATGGCAGATAATATCCTTGTCTTTCAACAGTGGCTGTCCACAGACGCTGTCTGTCAGACGGCATGTCTCGGTTTAGCTCACCTGTCCGAGAATTTCATCCCTCTGCTCCGTTTTGTTCTGTGATTCTTTCCGTAGGAGATGAAGATCTGTTCTGCCATCATTAACCTTTTCCACCTGATCCCAGCTGCACCTCAGACTCTAGTTAAACCACTTCTGGAGGTGGTCATGAAAACAGAAAGGGCGATGCTCATTGAGGTAAGGCCCCTGTCCCACGTTTCAGATGGATTTGTGTTTTTAAATTAGATCTAGCAAATATCACAATTGAAACTACAGCACCAGACCGAGAGTACTTTATTATAATTTTTTTTTATATAACGCAATGCTTCTGTTTATTAAGAAATTGGTTCTATGCACTCTGCCTTGGTGCTGCTGGAGCAGCCTTAAATTGCAGGCATTAGGTTGAATGAAGCATAAATAAAGCAGTTGGTGTTAATTAACTGGCAAGCTCGAAGAGATGAGCCAATGGCTTGCTGATAAAAATAGCCATAGTGTTAATTTAAATAATGTTGCAGCTCATAGCTCTTGTTTTTTTTTTTCTGGCTGCCTCTTTTCGCTAATTTACTTTTCTTCCCTCGCACAATTTATCCCGTATCAGGCCGGCAGTCCATTCAGAGAGCCTTTGATCAAGTTCCTAACGCGCCACCCATCGCAGACGGTGGAGCTGTTCATGATGGAGGCCACGCTCAACGATCCCCAGTGGAGCCGCATGTTCATGGTCAGGCAATCGTAGCTTTAAACAGCAGACAGCGTCACATTTTGAGCTCTGTCTCCTAGCACAGTAGTAGTCTATAATCAGGAATTTATTAGGTGTAATGTGCATTCCCATTAAGATGTCCTCTCTATTTAAAAACCCTCTTCTTTTAACTATGCTGTGCACGGATCATGATCCAGCGCAGCTTAAAACTGTATTTGGCTGTAAGTGTATGTATGTCTGTGTACGCACGTGCAGAGTTTCCTGAAACACAAAGATGCCAAGCCACTCAGAGACGTGTTGGCCTCCAACCCTAACCGCTTCGTGCCCCTGCTGGTTCCGGCTAGCACCGCCACTACCGTTCGGCCTGGATCTCCCTCCACCACCACAGTTCGGCTGGACCTGCAGTTTCAGGCCATTAAGGTATGCACAGTCTGTTGTAACCAGAGACGCGCATGTCTTTGAATGTCTACAATTCCTTTGTCCTCTTTGTTCCTTTCTGTTCAGATTATCAGCATCATAGTCAAGAACGACGAGGGTTGGCTGGCAGGGCAGCACTCCCTGGTCAGTCAGCTTAGGCGAGTCTGGGTCAGCGAGGCTTTCCAGGAAAGACATCGCAAAGACAACATGGCTGCCACCAACTGGAAAGAGCCCAAGCTGTTGGCCTACTGCTTGCTAAGCTACTGCAAGTATGTGGACCTTCTCAGTTTTGTCGGGAAAAAATGTTGGTCAGAAATCAAACGAGGAACCTACACTTGACCTAACGTATTAGCAAAACAACTTTTTGATGCTTGTGCAGTTTCTAACTTAAAGTTAATATTCCAATCACAAATGACCTTCGCAGCCAACATTCTGTCTCTGAGCACACATTTCTCACACTAGGCACTTTGCAAATGCTTTTTTTTACTTCAGACTTTGCAATTAACCTTATAATGCTCTAGCCAATGCTCTAACCTCAGCAAATAAAATTCTCTTCTGAATTACTGTAAAACTTACTTATTAGTAGTAGATTTAGGCTTATGGGAATCTAAGATTATTTCAAAATTTTTAGTTTTAGTTTTATCTCTCTCCCTTTCGTTGACATTAGACATCTTTACCGCTGAGGTAATGCAAATCGGTCTTCTTAACAGGCGGAACTACTCGGAGATCGAGCTACTCTTCCAGCTGCTGCGCGCCTTCACAGGCCGCTTCCTTTGCAACATGACCTTCCTAAAAGAGTACATGGAAGAGGAGATTCCAAGGAACTACTCCATTGCCCAGAAACGCGCGCTGTTCTTCCGCTTTGTCGAGTTCAACGACCCGCATTTCAACGACGAGCTGAAAGCAAAGGTATGGACAGAAGCGATGTGAGCAGAGGAGCCGGTTTATGGCTTTATGCTGTTTTGAAGCTGAAATGGGAAAGCCATTGAAATTACATTGGCTGCACGATCCGAGTTTTAGGAGTTATAAGCTAAAGAGGGAGCAGCAGACCTATAATAAGCTAGATAAGTTTGCAATATGTGGACCGAATCACGTTGGCACATGGGGCCCACAGACTCCAGGTGGGAATACCACTCTGGAGTTTCCCATTGGTTTGCTCAGCTGCACACTGAACAATGGGTTACTTTTCAACCCATCCTCTTCTTACTTACTTTTTCACCCCCCACTTCAGGCTAATGTTGTATTTAGGGACCTGATCTGAGTGACTTTAATGGTTGGTGTGTTTTGCTCCAGAACTACTTTGATGGAGTCCGGAAGGTCATTTAGTCTGTTCTGACCCTCCGAGGCTCACAGATGAATGCCCCCGTCCTCTCCACCTGACCTGCTGCTGCAAGAGCTGCATTCATTGGGGTTTTTTTTTTCTTTCTTTTTTTTTCTCCTCTTGGTAAATTAAGCTCACTCTCCCACACACAGCCCACTGAGGCAGACACAGACGGAGGGTTAGTCGCACACGTTTTTGCACAGCTGTAACAGGCACGTAACCCAGCTCAGAGGAGCAACAGCAACGCTGTTAAATACAAAACCGGTCAGCAGGGGAGGCCTGCCCCGGCACGCAATGGCACGTTACCAAATGTCGGTCTTGGGAAGAGCACATGACCACACGCGCACAAAAGAAGCTGGGCTGTGCACCCAGACCTCCAAATCCAAGGACACGCAGCTGTGTTTTTGATTCTCCATATGCTCTTTCTACTTGACATATGGTGGGATGCGAACAAAGGAAATAAAAATAAAAAAAGGGAGAAAAAACTCGGCCAACTCTCTGTTTTGTGTATCTCTAGACAGAAACGCCGAATACAAATGTTGTTTTTCAGCCGGGAGATGCAGCAGCCTCACCGTCCACCCCCATCAAGACCATGTGTCTGTTTTCTTTCTTTCTTTTTTTTTTCTTCTTGTCCCTCCGTTGGCCTTAATTGTCCTCTGCTGGTGTTCAGCAGATGCTAGCTGTGACACGGACTGACAGACAGAAGATGTTTTTCTGAGAACGTGTTTGTGTTGATTGGTGTATGAGTCACACGCACGAGAGAGTGTGGGTGTTACCGCCATTGACATTTAAATAATTGCCTGCAACATTTTTTCCGGAAGCATATTATCACTGGAAAGTGTGTTTGCTAGTCCTCAGCCTGCCAGGGAGAAGATAGAAAAGAGGGTTGTTGTATATCATGACAGGGGACTGGAAAGACATTTTACATGTTACTTGCGGGCACAAGGACCTACTAACCTCACAACAGTGACACATGATTTGTTTCTTATTTTTTTATTTTTGCAAACCATTTTTTAGTTATACACCTTTTAAATCGCTCCCTCAGTTAAGAGTGCTTTTTATAGATATATATATATATATGTATGTCTCTTGTGCCTTCCTCACAATTATCTCTTTATATATATTTTTTTATAGAACATATTCATCTTTTAAAAAAAAAAAAAACAGTGAACGAGATTGACTTAACCGCCCACGTGAATTGGCTCACAGATGATGTGCTTTAGGGGCACATCATTAATGGCATCACTTATATTTAACATGACCCTACAGTGATTGATTTCCAGAGAAAATGGGAATTTACAGGAACGGATGAGACCGGAGAACAACATGAGTCTCGCTGCCTTCCTTGGCAACTTCATTTGGAAGTGTGTTACTTTGTGGGTCTCTCTGCTTGTGTGCGGGTCTGTAATCATGTTCATTGAGCAAAGTGTGCATGAATAATGTGCTAATGGTGAAGTTGGAACATATGCTACTACAGCTCATTTTCCACTGAGCGATGCCCTGTCCCCTCAATGATGGATTGAATAGGGGTGTTCATTAATAGATAGCAGCTTCTTTTCTGAATGCGGGCTTTAGCCGTATTGTGGTTGGGTTATTCTCCATTTTACAAGCTAATCAGGCCTCCATTCACGATCCATTGCGGATGGAGAATAAATGTAAATAAATTAGATTTTCCCCGGTCTCTTGTTTCTGTGGTCAACCCCAATGCCCTGACAGTTTTTTTTCTTCTCTTAAATATCCCGTTATAATCTCTGAAACAGTTATGTTCTGTTTATTTTAAGTAAAGATTCTCCTGGTTGTCTGTTACGGATATGGCCTATGAAGAGTTGAGAATGTGCCTCTTCTGAGAATGTTCTCTTCTCTTGGTCGTGTGCTGTCAAGGAAATCGACCAAAGAGATCGTAAATCTCCTTGTGGTTAAAGATAATGGGGGTCAAATACTTTCAGAGTTTCTTTCCTGTGACATTATTTGAATATGTTGTGTTGTTTTATAGGTTCTGCAGCATATCTTGAACCCGGCCTTCCTGTACAGCTTTGAGAAGGGGGAAGGTGAGCAGCTGCTCGGTCCACCCAACCCTGAAGGAGACAATCCTGAGAGCATTACCAGTGTTTTCATCACCAAGGTACACACACACACACACACACACACACACACGGTCCTATCTACATTTTACTCAGCATCTCCCCTTTACCATCAGTCTCTGTTCTTGTTACATAATAGCCGTCTATCCATTTCTGTGATTTCATTACCTGCCTTTTTTGCTGCTCATGATGCCTCATCAGTCCATCATCTCTCCATACTTGGTCTTCATCAACTACGTTCCCACTCAGTCAGATTCTTCGTCACTCACCGCCCGGAGAGAATATGCAATTGCATAATTGCTCTCATTTTATCTATCCCGTCTTCCTCTCAGCCTCATTCATCCGTCTGTGTCTGTCTTTCTCCCTCCCACCATCCCATTGACCACCTCCGCCAGCCTGTCCACTGCGTTTCATTCATCAGGCCAGACAATAATTTCTGGTGTAAATGTCACGGTGAGACTGCTAAAGGTCAGCGTGTTTGTTTGTGCTGTGGCAGGTCTCATCACTGGCTAACAGCAGTCCTAATGGCTGCTAATGGCTCGTCTCCAGTCTGGTTAAAGCTCATTTCCTCCCTTACCCCTATCCCTCAGTCCACACACTCTGCTCTCTTCTGTACCTCTCCAGGGAATTCAGATGGCGATTGATATTTTGTTAAGAAAGATTCAACACTATTTGACTTGATGTATAAATCAGGTTATGTTGTTATGATGTAAACAAATCCATTAAGTGATCAGAATATAGACCATATTTTATTTATCTTGGACGCATTACAAATCCGACCGCTGAGGTGACCAGTTGGATCTGTTTTGGATCTGATTTGTAATTTCAAATCTTTTTTTAATGTAGTTTTATTGCTGTATCCTCTCCGCCCCCCTCATAGGTTCTGGACCCGGAGAAGCAGGCCGACTTGTTGGACTCGCTGCGGATCTGCCTGCTGCAGTTCTCCACCCTCCTGGTGGAGCACGCCCCCCACCACATCCACGACAACAACAAGTCGCGCAACAGCAAGCTGCGCCGCCTGATGACCTTTGCGTGGCCGTGCCTTTTGCCCAAAGCCTGCGTGGACCCGGCCTGCAAATACAGCGGTCACCTGCTGCTGGCCCACATCATCGCAAAGTTTGCCATTCACAAGAAGATTGTGCTGCAGGTGGGGAAACTCTACAACCCAGACAAGACATTTAAAATGGTTGAATGAATTGATTAAAAATCACTTTAAACTGATTCAGAGAATTGACAAAAACTTGTATTACAAACCTTAAAAAAAGAGAGAAAACTTTTCAAATAGTTTTGAGCCATTATAGATAATCGACTTAATTGCCTGAAGATTGACTGATTTTGAATTCAGATAAAGTAGCTGAAACAATTCCAGAAATGTAAGCAAAGTCACCTGCTTCTCCTCCTCCATATGTGGAACAATGTTCAGATGCTACTGTGTTGGACTCGTCGGACTGTTAATGAGTTAATTGTCGCCACTGTGCAGGTGTTCCACAGTCTGTTGAAAGCCCACACAATGGAGGCCCGGGCTATTGTCCGGCAGGCCATGGCCATCCTCACCCCAGCCGTGCCCGCTCGCATGGAAGACGGCCACCAGATGCTAACACACTGGACTCGCAAGATCATCGTGGAGGAGGGACACACTGTACCGCAGCTGGTCCACATACTCCATCTTATTGTGCAGCACTTCAGGGTGAGTGGGAGTACAAAGCAAGTCAAGCCGTCGGGCTGCCCCCCCCCTCGTCCCCAGCCAGAGGTGTCAAACATGTCCGAATTTCAGTATTTATCACTTAAACCGACAGATGGCTGAGGCCTTTGGTTAGTCTACATCGTGCGCTCTTGATCCCGTTCCAGTTTGAAGGCAGGGCTTTTCTTAGCATGGTTGTGGTACTAAGATTTTACTCTAAAGTTTGCCTCGCACCTGATGTGTTGAGAGGACAACTGCCGCACAGTGTGCGCGTGCAGCTTGTGATTGCTGTGGGGAGCTCGCTGCTGAGAGTGCACGAGGGGGAGAACAATCGAGGAACTAATTACGCTGATTATTTGAGTGCCCTGAATTACAAGAGACCTCTTTACAAGTCCCAGCGGGGACTTTTATTTATTTATTTATTTATTTTTGTTGGGAAATGTATTGTAGCCACAACTTGGCACCACGCTTTGTTCTCTTGTTTTAAAAAGCTGGCTTCTCAGTTGGTGACTGTTCACTGCCTGTGTGTGTGCCTGTGTGTGTGCGTGTGTGTGTGCGCGCGTGCGATGATGCACTCTTGGTCGACTCAACCTTGAAATTTGCGATCAGAAGGGTCAAAGAGCATCTCATCAGCGGACAAGTCAACAGCAGACAATCACAGGCTTTATCTTCTCCCTCCTTAAACCTAAAAGCCAGTTTTAGTCCCATCACTGCTTCAGCCGATCTTCACCGCCTTCCAAGCCAGAGCGACAGTCTTTTAGGAGCGGACTGACATTTCCCTCAGTTACCCTCTCTATCTCTCTGACAGGCTGCTCTCACTGGGCCAGATGACTAATCTAATGTAATCACATCAGCATAATTACACTAGGGAGGAGATAATGACAGACAGATGAGACTTTGTGTGCGTGTCTGTCTTTGATAAAGTAATAGAGAGATGGCGTGTTTGTGTGTGTGTGTGTGTGTGTTTGTCTGTGTGCACACATGATGAACAGGGCCTAGCCGCTCTGTCATTAAGGGGCTTCGAAGTCCTGCTCTATCAACTATAATTATCCTCAGAGTGAGAAGCCTTAATATTCTCTGACACTGACAAAACCCCTCTGATAGACATCTCATCGCCGGCTCTTTTTTTCTATTTTTTTTTTCTTCTTTCTGCATGTGTGTTATTGAGCCCCAGTTTGGTTTTCAGAAGCTAAGTGACTCTCGAGTGTGACACTTGAGTGTGTGAATGCTGAGGGCTGAGTGTGCGTCATCATGTCCTTGAGGCTAAGTGAGAATATGATGTATTAGTTTGTCGTTTTTAACTTGGTCTTGGATTGATTGAACAATGCTGGCGCTTGCTATCACCCACTCATCGTTTTGGTGCCCTTGCTGGCTAGCTGCTTTCACCCTCACCCTTTTCTGCTTAATTTAAACTCTGCTCATGGCATCATAACTCCCTGTTTTTAGCAGGTTTTTGTCCAATCACAAGAGTTTGTTCCTCAAATGGCTATTAGGTGGGACTTCATTTGAGTCATTTGTTTTATTTCTTTTCTTTAGGTCTACTACCCCGTCCGCCACCACTTGGTCCAGCACATGATCAGCGCCATGCAACGCCTGGGCTTCACGCCCAGCGTGACCATAGAGCAACGGAAGCTGGCCGTGGACCTGGCCGAAGTGGTCATTAAGTGGGAGTTGCAACGGATCAAAGACCAGCAGGTGAAATTCTCTCTTTTTCCCCCCGTATACTTAAATCAGCACATTTTTCAAAGCAAAGCTTTTTGGCACTGTAATCAAAACATTTTAGACCCATTTCTTATGTGTGTACAAGTATATGAGCAATGGTTTGACTACGCCTGTGCATAGACTGTGATGTGTTTAGACATTCATTTATTTATTTTTCATGTGGCAGCCGGAAACCGAAACTGAAGTGGTGGCCAGCGAAGGAACCAGCGCGGGGGCCGTGAAAAGAGGGCTGTCTCTGGAGTCTGCCGCTACCGGACAGGACGTGAAGAGATTCCGCACAGCAACAAGTGCCGCTTCCACGGTGAGCCCGGCAGCAGGGAGGGCACTCACTTAATGACCAACAACCCTTGATTTATGTTTAATGATGATATCTGTCGTCCTACCGGTCAGTTTGATTTCTTTATGTAGTTGTTATTGTGCAATCGCAAACAAATTTCCCCACTTATTTTTAAATGTATCACATGTACAATACATACAGCATATAGTATCCCATATTTTATGTTTTCATTTAACCAGCAAGTGTTTGAAATTACACATTATGTACAATTTATGCCAATGATTGTTTTTTTTTATTTATTCATTTTTGTCTTTTCCTTTCCTCTTGGTGGTTAATTGACTATGATTCTGAAGCATTATCGTGTTACTGGTTCATTTGCCTCATTCATCCTTGGGTATTTAATCAGCCTTGGTCTTAAGTTGATGAAAGGTCAGATTGCACAAAAAGTTGCCCATTTATTAGACGGTCACAGTTCTGGTTTGTTCGTTTTTTTAAGGATTATGAATAAACTTGACCTTGCGAAGAGTCTTTGATTTACCCCTAACTACTCTTATCTATGTAGAAATTTAATATGCTCTGAATTGTTTTGTTGCAGCTTCCCTGAATCTTTCTGGTCTCAATTAAAATTTCTCTTTTTTTTGGTAATTGATTTTAATCTTTTCTTTTTTTATAGGTGTTTGGACGTAGCCAGTCAATGCCAGGGACAGAGACCATGCTCACCAAGCCTGTTGAGAAACAGCACACAGATACCGTGGTCAACTTCCTGATTAGGATTGCCTGCCAGGTATGATCCCCCCAGTAATTGCCAACCACTCATAAACCAACTTAAGTACATGCAAAGACGTCTTTGTGGGGACGTTAATCACACAACCCATTCTTTTGCCATTAGTCTAATCATGGCTATCATAATCGACTAATCTAAGTTTATTTCTAACCTCTACCCTAAAACCAAAGTCATAATGGGAAAGTAGGCTTCTTAAAATTATGTGAAAAATTGAAGGATGACTGTGGTTTTAACTCAACACTTACTTTAATGCTTTGATTTTATATTAAATAATAGATGCCATCGGACACTTTTTCCATGTTGTTTACCCTTCTGCACTCTTGAGTCCCCCTCACTCCCACCCTCGCCCAAATTCCCTGCTTTTCACCTCATGCAGTGGGAGTGCATTTTCAGCTGTATGACCTTGGTCACAAGCCTGAAATAGAAGATTTCACTCACCTTCATTTTCACTGTTCATCCAACCATCTCTGAATATAAGTTTCTGTTACCGCTGGGGATCACTCGCCTGCTCGCAGAGCAGTCTACAGAAACATAATCCTCTCTTTGTATTCCACTTGATAACGGTGTAGCGTGACACTAAATTGATCTCTGTAGAAAAATATGTTTTCAGTGGCCCACGGGATTAACATCAGCCAAAGGACAGCACACCTACAGCCGATAAGGATTGTGTTGTCTTGGCTATAGATGTGCATGCAGTGTAGATGATTGCTGCTCTGAGGGGTAGGACAGATGCTCGGGATTGAAAGATGAGCTGTTTTTTTTCTTTTTTCAAGCCGTGCCACCTTTGAATTGTCTCTTTGATAATATTCCAAAACATTCTGACAGTTAAGACCTCTAGTTTAATTCTTACCCCTTCAGGACAGCAATGTGTTCCAAACCAGAAGTCATTGTCTCCGATAACGCAAATGATTCCCGTCTCCCACCTCTTCCGTCTAGGTGAACGACAGCACCAATGTGGCGGGCTCTCCGGGTGAACTGCTGTCGCGGCGCTGCGTTAGCCTGATGAAGACCGCCCTGAGGCCTGACATGTGGCCGCGTGCGGAGCTCAAGCTGCAGTGGTTTGACAAACTGCTAATGACAGTGGTAAGATCCCCTCAAAAATGATGTTGAATTTCTTGTGTTCATGTTTTGAATGGTTCTTAAGTAAAAAAGAGCAGAGAAAAAACAGGATTTCTCTAGGTGAACATGTCACAGTATAGTTAAAGTTACTTTTCTAAGCCATCAGCGTTATGTTAGGCAAACAACTTAAAAAATAAAAATAAAAAGTCACCCTACTTGTTGTTGTTGTTATGGCGTCGGGGCAATAATCATAAGTAGAGGACAACTAATGCCTTCCCAGAGAAGTTCCCGCTTAAGCTCTTAAGTCTTAGTGTTGGGCCTAACACCCCAGAGTCCTTTGTCTGTTATCAGTATTACACAAAGTGAGGTGCCAACAGCAATAATGACAAAATAATGACAGTGGTGAGATAACGGGAGTCTATCCGGATTTGCCCGCTCCTTCTCATTCAACCCCATCTGCTTCCTAACTTTCTCATCCTTGCTTTCTCTATCTCCCCACTGTACCCCTCTGCGTACATCTTCTCCTTTTGCCTGTGTCTTTAACCACTTCCTCCTTTCGTCTCCCGTCTCTCCTTTTCCGTCCGAGCTCTCATCAGGGGCTGTTTTCTCTTCCCCCGTTTTCCCCCGTCTCTCCTCTCCTTTGTTGCGCTCATCTCACTGGTCAGATTTGGCATCACGTTCAGACAAGGTTATCAGCGCACACTGCCGTCCTCCCTCCTCTTTTGGCGATCACTTCATCAACCACACCTTTGATTTGCTTGTTTATACACAGACACACACACACAAGCGCCGGCCTGCCCCCTCCAGATCCCGCTGGGGATGGTTTGACAAACAAGCCTTTTTTTTAATGAAGATGCACACAAGCCCTTTTCCCTTGGGAGCGTGCTCTACCTGCTCAGCCGTCTTATTCAAACTAATGAACATTGCCCCAAATCGGATTACCTTTTATCATCTCATTGTACCGGCAGAGCAGTGATTAAGAGTCAGGGGGAGTGGCGTAAGAGGTCAGACGAGGAGAGGAAGGAGAGGTGGACGCAATTCATGCACGCAGTCCCACTCTTAGTCACATCCGTGTATCTGTTCTGTCTGCACGACTCCAAAGACAAGCTCCCATTCAGTGAAAAGCGCCCAATCAATATGGCCCCTCTATCTACTAGAGGTCTTATCACAAAATTCACCTTGTTCATTAGACAAGATTAGTCCCACGGATTGGTCTAAGATTATCCTCTTGGCCTTGCCATTGTAAATCCTGATTGCAATTTAGACAAAATTAGGCCATTGATCTTTGATTTAGAAGCCATCGCGATGCATCGCTTTTTTTGTGTGCGTGTGTGTGTGTGTGGGGAGATACCAATAGATGTAGGACATCGTTAACGAGTGTATCTCTCAGCCAGTTCGTAATTTTTGTTTCGCCACTGTCCTCGTTTGGCCCTCTCAGGAACAGCCAGCCCAAGCCAACATCTCAAACATCTGCACGGGTCTGGAGATTCTGTGCTTCCTGTTGACCGTGCTGCAGTCCCCAGCCATTCTGGCCCACTTCAAGCCTCTCCAGCGGGGCATCGCCGCGTGCATGACCTGCGGCAACACGAAGGTCTTGCGTGCGGTCCACTCCCTCCTCTCCCGCCTAATGAGCATCTTCCCCACCGAGCCAAGTAAGCTGTCAATTTAGACCGGCACACAAAAAGCTACACGTCCCAGTTCGATTCCTCTGTTCGGAGTGGAACATTTTCTGTAATACTGGTTCACCAAAGCCATATTATTGTGTGTAAGCAAGGTGATTGTTTGGCTTATCTTTTAAACAAATGCTGTCATGTTTTTTTCTCAGGCACGTCGACCGTGGCGTCTAAATACGAGGAACTGGAGTGTTTGTACGCGGCGGTGGGCAAAGTCATCTATGAGGGTTTAACCAACTATGAAAAAGCCACCAGCAACACGAACCCCACGCAGCTCTTTGGTATGATGAGCTCTACTCCCCCCCCATCTCCTATTTATCATTTTCAACCTTCTTGTTCACCATATCTCCCATTGGCTGATTTATAAACCTTGTCATTATGAAAAGGAAAAAAAAGTCAAACCCCCCCCCCCCCCCCCTACACAGCTCAGCAGCCTCTCGGCCACTTTCAGCAATTAAACCAGTGAGTGGGTTGTTAAAATGCAAGCCGACAGGCCCCGCTGCCGAGGCAAACATCTGGTCTGTTTAAACTGAGGCCACAGGCCAGCGGTTTGGGAAAGATTGTCTTGGGAAGTATTGCTGCTTTCGGCCACCCTCCCTGTTCGAACATTACCATTTCCACCCAGATGTCAGCAAGTATTTATAGAAAAAGCTTTCTCTAAAGTTTGTGTCAAGGAGACGGATATTTGACTTTTTTTTTTTCTCTTTCTCTCCTTTTTTAAATATACAGTGCCAAATGCAATCAATGGATGTCACAGGACAAACAAAAATAGCAACTTATCTCTTAGATATTTTTAAGAATTCGATTTCTGTAACTTTCTGTTGCCATGGTATAGTGCTGATGCGATGCATCCGTCCAGCTGGTTGGGGGGCATTTGTTTTCCCTTCAGAAAACAGCAGCTGAGTAAGACATTAGTCATTCTTCATCCTGCCACTGTAGCACTAAAAGAAAAGGGGGGGAAAAAACCTCATGTGACATGAATGAATAAAAGCAGACTGCAGCTGTGGATCTCTGTCAACTTACCCTGGAGGGGTTAAGGCTTTTGTCAGATTCTTGTATTTCCAGTTTTTCTTTTTTTTTCTTCTTCTTGCCTCCTTTCACTCTCCCTGCTTCCCCCTCATTTGTCTTTCAGGAACGCTGATGATCCTGAAGTCGGCCTGCAGCTATAATGCCAGCTACATAGACCGCCTCATCTCTGTGTTCATGCGCTCGCTACACAAAATGGTTCGGGAACACCTGAGCCCTCAGCAGGCTAACCCCGGGGTCACGGAAACCAGCACAGGTACTGTGGATGCTGCTCACTATTTTTAACATTTTCCTCTTTTCTTTGATGGAATTAAACAAATACTAGTTCAGGTCAGAAAAAACAACTTTTGTTAAAGCCAGGCTGTGGTTTCTAAGTCTACTGAAGTCTATGGATGAAAATTGGGGTTGATGGCAAGAGGGGGAAGCAAATAGTATCTTTTTTCTCAATTGGATGATTAAACAAATTTTGAGCTAAAAGCCCTTTAAGAGCACAATGTACACAATATATCAACCACCATTTCAGTTTAACTTAATCTGGGGCCATTATCAGTCACGACCAAGAATAAAAAGGAAGTCATTCAGTCTTCTTAGCTTTGCCACAATTATGATAAAGCTTGTCAAAATTTCCTGTCCAGTTTTCTCTCCAAGCCTCATTATAGGTTTAAGGAAGTCCAGTAGTAAAAAAAACAAAAACCTCTTACTCGCATGCGAGATAATGGCTTTAAGATCTTATCACTTCTTTTTAATGGGTCCCTAATGACTGTATCGGGAAACGCAGACATTAACCCACCACCATGAGCAGTTACAGTCACTAAGACCAAAGGCTATCTGACCACCGGGGCCTTTGCCTCTAAAGATTCTTCAGGTTTCACTAATCAATAAGCTTAAACTCAATCGGTTCTGCACTGATTGTTCAATTCGCCTCCTTTCATGTTTTTTCTGCTCCTCTTACATATAACAAGACCAAAAAATATTGTAGTTTATCTGTTTAGAAAAGGTAGGCAATATTAAATTATACATTTTTTTCAATACTCTGACTTAAAATGGGAAACAAATCTTTAGCGATTCATTGAAAAAATGAGAGATGATAAAACACCAGTTTAAATGGGGACGTTGTTGTTATTGAGGCAATGTTTTATGACACTTATTTATTCTTTTTGTTTTTTCTGCCGTGGCTATGCCTGTTTTCACAGTGACCAGTGAACTGGTGATGCTGAGTCTTGACCTGGTTAAGACTCGACTGTCGGTCATGAGCATGGACATGAGGAAGAACTTCATCCAAGTTATCCTCACGTCTCTGATCGAGAAGTCGCCTGACCCCAAAATCCTCCGTGCTGTAGTCAAGATCGTGGAGGAGTGGGTGAAGAACAATTCGCCCATGGCAGCCAACCAGGTAAGGAGATCTGACAGGCCTCGGCTCTGTGAGTTGGACAAAGCAAAAAAAAAAAAAAAAAATGGAAAAAAAAGATTGCGTGTGCAAGCAGATAAGCACGATTCCACAGATTAAGGCATCATTTATTGAGTGAAACCAACAGGTATGAATTAACGACTGACTCAGCCCAGCTCAAAAAGATTCAAAACATTTTGACAAACCAGTGAAACACATTTTCTAAATGCAAGGATGAGGGGCGCTGTGTTCTTTGTCCTTTGAGCAAAGAACAAGCACTGCCGAGCACTGAGTAGAACAGATCGGTAGAGGGAAAAGGATGACTCTGAATCAAACATATTATTATATCTTTATTTTTTGTTGTTTATATTGAATGCATTTTCGTCTGTATGTTTTCACCCTGACATTTCTTTTACCGTAAGATGCCAAACCTGCGTGAGAAGTCCATTTTACTGGTGAAGATGATGACCTACATCGAGAAGCGTTTTCCTGATGAACTTGAGTTAAATGCCCAGTTCCTGGACCTCGTTAATTATGTCTACAGGTAATTACCGCCATTCATCACATGGCCAAATGGCCACGGCACCGTCCTTGCATCCCTTTTAACACCAGTGATGAAGGTCAGGAAAGCTGTGCGGTTGGGTCAGGTAGCCGTGGAAACTAAAGATCAGGTGGAAGACATCTGGAGCAGTTTACTTTTTAAATTGTAAAAAAAAAAAGAAGAGGCTTTTGCAAAGATTTGAGAAGTTAGATTGTTGTAATGTTAAGAAGTAAATCATTGGGGGTGGTTATGGATCAAAGCATACAAGCCTTAGTCAAGATGTATTTGCCAGGGTCTTTCACAGGGTTACATAAGCACCAACTGACATCCAGCTTCTGACGGCACTCTCAGTGGGTGGAGGTCAGACGTCACACACTTTCTTCCTGCTCCCTATTCATCAAAATATAACCGACTGTCTTTCTTGCCTGACACGTGTACGCTTTAAAGCAAAACACGGATGTACTCTACATCCCTAACCCCATCGTCTTGTCACGAAAAACATTAAACGGTAAAGTCGCAATAATAATGGAACGATTAAGCAGCTGTGAAGGACCAAAAGGGGCACATAAGTGGAGATTATGCAGCAGTTTTGCCTTTGTTCTCCGTCTGTTGCCACGGGAACATTCCCTGTACATTTGTTTAAAATGTGCAGTGTTTGTTCGTATTTTGCTATTAAAGCAATTTGTAATGTTAAGGGCTGCTACTTCAGGCAAGACAAAACTTTTGGCCGGTTGAATGAGGCAGACACATTGTTGTTATAATTTGTAATACCCTTGCGATTGCAGCTCTTCTGACTCTTTTGTTGGTCAAGTACTCAAAATCTGTTACCATACACATCTACCTTTTTTAAAGAGTAGTTGCTGAGTATTTGTTTTTCTTTTCTATAAAAATCCTACTCTGATCACAATTTAAACCTTTTTAAATTGCTACTCGGCGAGCGATGGAACTTACTTTGGAAATAGTCAATAAATGCTACAAAGGCCACATTCTAACACCTGTTTTTCCCTCACACATTCAGGGACGAGAGCCTTTCCGGAAGTGACATCACGTCGAAGTTGGAGCCAGCCTTTCTCTCAGGGCTCCGCTGCACTCAGCCATCAATCAGGGCCAAGTTCTTTGAGGTGTTTGACGCCTCCATGAAGCGGCGCGTCTATGAGAGGTTGCTCTACATCTGCTGCTCTCAGAACTGGGAGGCAATGGGCAGCCACTTTTGGATCAAACAGTGCATCGAGGTAAAAGTTTCCATTTCCGTTTGAGCATTTTTCCTTTTGCAATTGAGTCCCGGAGCAGGTCGCCTATTTTATTCCCCAGAGTTTGCAACTTCTCTCTTTTATTCTGTGCTAACCCCATAGCTGCTGCTGGCCGTTTGTGAGCGAAACACCATCATTGGCACCAGCTGCCAGGGTTCCATGCTTCCCTCCATCACCAACGTCATCAACCTGGCCGACAGCCATGACCGCGCCGCCTTCGCCATGGCGACTCACGTCAAACAGGAGCCTCGTGAGAGGGAAAACAGCGAGACCAAGGAAGAGGTTGGACACAAAAGACAACCACATCTCATCACCTTTCAGTTGAAAATGATCTAATTTAAAGTGCTTTATGCATTTGTTTTTTTAATTAACACCACACCTTGAGACTTGAGGACTGAATGATTTCTCCCGTACTTTTTATTTTTCCTCTGGCAGGATGTGGAGATTGACATAGAATTAGCCCCAGGAGACCAGACGGCTCTTCCCAAAACGAAGGAGCAGGCAGAGAGAGACACCGGCAACCAACTGCACATGCTAACCAACCGCCACGACAAGTTCCTCGACTCATTACGGGAAGTTAAGGTAAGTTCAACTTCAAGCTTTTCACAAGGCCTGGAACGTTTCTGTGATATACCATGCTTTGAATTAAAAAAAGAAAAGAAAAAAGACACACCACTCACTGTACAATTCTTTAATCTTTATATTTGGGGGAGAAAATGCATCCACCTTTTTACAAAAAAACCTTAGTCTTAGTTGTAAAATTGATACTTGAAATCCCTGAAGATGAAGCAAAGAATGCACAGCCTTGCAAATGAACAGATCCGCAATGTTTGTCCTCTCCTGTCTAGACGGGCGCTCTCCTGAATGCCCTAGTCCAGCTCTGCCACATCTCCACACCTCTGGCTGAAAGGACCTGGGTTCAGCTTTTCCCTCGCCTCTGGAAAATCCTGTCTGACAGACAGCAACATGTGAGTGTGAATACCCACTCTTTCCGTGAAATCGCACACTAATATATGCTAAATATGGAAAATGAAAGCAGAGGGAAGAAGGGTGTGATGAGTTTAACGGAGCAGATGCACATCAAGTGTTGCGAGGCTCGTTCAGAGCCCTTCGTTTAAAGTGATTAAACTCTCCAACATCTGACAGGTGTGTAAACCAGCAAGATTCAATAGGAGATTTCCTTCCTATGACAGAACTGAGGTCATTAACATGTTGCATGTGCTTATCCTTCTGGGTATCTTGGCTCTTCATTCTATGCCACCATTGCCCCACTTTAAGGTCAAAATTGTTAATTCACAACCTCAGGCTTCATATTCCCAAGAGAACCCATACAAGGGAATGATGGAGAAACACATTCTGAATGTGTTGACATATTTCTGTGTCCGCCACCAGTGTAATTAAAGCGATGATCAAAGCATGAATTGCTCACTGGTGTCAGCAGGTAGTGTAAATGATATCCGTTGCCGATGGATGTCAGCCATGATTTTCACAGCCCGACCCGGCGATGATGCTCAGGATCTATTCTGTAAACACACGGCTGGTCTGACAGGATCGGATTTAATCCTCCATTGAGGATTAAATGTGACGCGCATCGTTTTACTTTTTAACAGAATTTATGCGGCCTCTTACAAGTAAAACTGGAAGAGGTGACATTCATTAAGCGCTGAGCAAAACTGATAAAATGACAATTGCCGTATTAATATTTTGCACTTCTTTATTAATATCAGTTTGGGAAATATTGACGATTTTTTTTGGAAATTGAGGGATCACAAGTCCCTCGATGGTGTTGTTTTTTTATGGTTTACAACCACAAAGGCTTCAAATAATTTGTCATTTGTCCCTTTCCCGTTTTCTTACTTGTCTTCACAGTTCTCTTACTGGAAAATGGGATCACGTTGCATCCCGCACATGCAACACAATGCCTTTATCGATACGCCGTATCGTTTTACCGCTCAAGTAAACGTAGGTGGTTGATGATCTCTCTCCCTGTCCTCCTCCGCAGGCTTTGTCTGGTGAAATGAGCCCTTTCCTCTGCAGCGGCAGTCACCAGGCTCAGAGGGACTGCCAGCCCAGTGCCCTGAACAGCTTTGTGGAAGCCATGTCCCAGTGTGTGCCTCCCATTCCCATCCGCCCCTGTGTTCTCAAGTACTTGGGCAAGACGCACAACCTATGGCTGCGCTCCACGCTCATGCTGGAGCAGCAGGCGTTTGAGAAGGGCCTCAGCCTGCACAGTAAACCAAAGCAGAGCACCGAGTTCTATGAACAGGAGAGCATCACACCGCCTCAACAGGCAAGCTCTTGTTTTTTTTTTTTTAATGAAGATTTTGCTCACACTCTGCAACTTGCTCCGCTGTTATCCTCCAGTTTGTTTATATTTTTTATGTTATTGTAGGAGATCTTGGACTCTTTGGCAGAGCTCTACTCTCTGCTCCAAGAAGAGGACATGTGGGCAGGCTTATGGCAGAAGAGGTGCAAGTTTCCTGAGACCGCAACGGCCATCGCATACGAGCAGCATGGCTTCTTCGAGCAGGTGACCCCACCCCCTTAAATTGGTTTTTATATCAGCGTTGTTTAGTAACTTACAAATGAGCTTAATTGAAATGTTATCTTGTCCATTTTTAAGGACATTTTAGGGGTGACGTCATATGACAGCAAAGTGTAATAATTTATTTTATTAGCCGTGAGAGATTGTCCTAAACATTTCACAACACGTCTGTTCAGGCCCAGGAAAGTTACGAGAAAGCGATGGAGAAGGCCAGGAAAGAGCACGAGAGGAGTAACGTCTCCCCAGCCATTTTCCCTGAGTACCAGCTGTGGGAGGACCACTGGATACGGTGAGATTTCATTGGCACAAAATATAAAAATGCTATCAAAGCACAGTGGCTAAAAAATGATAATTACATCAATGAGAATACTTCCCGCCCCCAAAAAGTATTCTTAAATGGAGTAACTATTAAAGTTTACCTAAACTTCTTATCTCCTTTGTTTTACTTCCCCAGCTGTTCCAAAGAACTAAACCAGTGGGAACCACTGACTGAATACGGCCAGTCGAAAGGCCACTCAAACCCTTATCTGGTGTTTGAGTGCGCTTGGAGGGTTTCCAATTGGGCTGCCATGAAGGAGGCTCTGGTTCAGGTGAGGAGAGCCCAATCTATGTGTAAAAATAGCATTGATGTGTGGATTTTCTACACTCGTTCGTAAAAGTGTTTTCTTGCCTCTTAAAGGCTGAAATTGGCCCAACAATTTGTAAGGTAACAGTGTTTTCACATTTCACAGCAGAATCGCCGGATAGAGTTATGCATTTTTCTCCTTTCTAAAAATATACTACAAATGACAGACATGTTTTGAAGCGAGCTTTGCTTTGGTTTTTTATCATCCCCCTCCGGGTTGCGATGCGTTTGTGGAACACGATGAGAAGCCGTGCCGTTGTGAGCAACAGTAAATGTGACATTTTCACATTATATGTGTAAGCGTTGCCACCGTGTCCCATCTATCTGCCCGCGAGCCGGTCGCTCAGATTTCAGAGTACATCTTGGACGTACTTGTCCTCTGTAACTGATGGCTTGGGAATGAGCCCAGTTTTGGTAGATGTGTTGGACCAAAAAAAAAAAAGGATTTGACAAAATCGATTTAGCGACCAGGCTTAGATGATCCCCCCCTGCATCATCACTACCGTTTCACATTGGATCAGTGGTTTCCAGAATAATTGCTGCCGCACCCCGTGCTGATGTAAAATATAACAATTTGATATTTTTTGGGGCGTCCAGCAGCTTTATAACCCGACACTGTGCGCAAGAATAAGAGAGGCCGCTGTAAAGCTGTGGGGATGTAGGCCAGCTGTTTGCCTGTGAATTTACTAGCCTTATGGTTACTGCTGAAACAGATTGTGGATGGGTAGTGACTGTGTTATGGGACCTGACGCATAACAAATACTCCTGCACCGCTCTTTCAAGGAGACCTGGAACCAATCCATCGAGTCGCTCTGTCTTAAGGTGACATCTAATTAAATTGTCTGGATGGCAACACCAGCACTGCTCTATCCGTTCCTTCTTCCCTCAGTACTTCTTTCCTCCTCGTTTTGAATCCGCCCTGCTTCTCTCTTTTTTCTTCACCTGTTTAACTTTGTCTTCTTTCTGGTTGTTCCCCTCTATGCTTCCACTTTGCCCTCCATCTTTCCGTCCCTTGCTCCGCCGCTCGGGCTGTAATGGCTAATATTTATGACAGCTGTGTGCATGAATAATTACCTCAGCATCTGCTGCCCGGTGATTTGTTTTATGGCGGAGGAGAAGTGCGAGGCTTTTCCGTTGCCCGCCTGCCCAGAGCTATCCGACTCGGAGGCAAAAGTCCAGATGTCCCCGCTTTGAATTAAAGCTGGCTCTGGATAAAGACGGCCCTGTTTCCCAGATATTCATCAAGCGTCCCCCCTGACACACGTGCTTTGACCGATCACTGTTATTTTCTCCAGGAACGAAAAGAGCTGAGACAAACACTCACCTGGGCTTTGTCTCTTTCCTCTTCTTCTCTTCACTCCGTGTTGCTCTCATCGACTGGAAAAAAAAAAAAAAAGAAGAAAAGGCCAAACGGCAAACCATGAGTTTGATGAAGGAGGCTCCCCACAGCTATTATTTGTTTAGCGTTAATGCACTCAGCGTTTTAATCAATAACAGGACCTTCACCCACCCCCCACCACCGCCACCTCTTTGTCACACCTGTCGGGTTTATTAGTCATTCGAACAAAATTCAAGCCGAAATGGCTTGGGAAAAAAAAGCACAAAAAGTATCATTGGCATTCGTCTCAGGAGCAAATTCCGCAAAGAAAATAACACAAAGCAGATGCATCATTGAATCTCTGACTAATGAATCATAGAAGCACAATACAATACATACTTGTTTCTAAAGTTTATTGAAGATCTACAGATTTTTAATAATCCTTTTAGTTTTTGAATAACTTATCTTAATTTAGTTTGAGGGGACGCATAAAGAAAAAAAAAAAAGAAATGTAATCTGCACACCTGACCCTGTTTTAATGTAAAAATTTCGTTTTTGCGACAATATAAAAGGGAGAAAAATAGAGAAATCAAAACCGATAGATAACCCAATGATTATTCCCTCGATCGCATTTTCGTTGAGCCGGCAGGACCCGTATTTAGTCACCTCTGCTCCGATAGGACGTGCACGTGGATACTAACTTGACATGAAATTCCAGGTGGAGCTCAGCTGTCCGAAGGAGATGAATTGGAAGGTGAACATGCATCGCGGCTATCTGGCCATCTGCAACCCAGAGGAGCAGCAGCTCAACTTCATCGAGCGGCTGGTGGAGCTGGCTTCGAGCATGGCCATCCGCGAGTGGAGGCGGCTGCCTCACATCGTGTCCCACGTGCACACGCCCCTGCTGCAGGTCGGTGATGGAAACGCGCAGGTCCTCCTCCGGAAAAAAAACCCGTCTGGTTTTGATTCATTGCGATAGCCGTCCAGATTAGCAAAAGGGAAAGTCGGGTTGTTGTGATAAGTACTTGGAAGAGATGCATGTCAAGAGATCATCGGTTGCTTTGAGGCATTGTGCTGTTGAGCTATACCGATAACGGCCCATATCTGCTTCTCGCCACTCCATTTTGTAAAATTGAGAAAGATGATTGAAAAAAAAAAAAATCAAAAACCTCTTAAGCTTCTTTGATTCTACCGTAAGAGATCACAATAGACGGCCCAAAGATGGGAAAAAGAATAGGAGGGGGAAAAAAAGAAGGCAGACTTTGGTACAGATAATTGAAAAAGGTGGAGAGTGAACAGAGTGAGGCGGGGTGGGGGGCATTCAGGGAGAAGAAAGAGAGGTAGTTTAGAATTTCTGTAATTACTTTCCAGCCATCAGATAGTATTTGATTAAATACCTGCAGCAGAATTACATTTACATGATGAATGGGATGGCCTGAATGAAGTTTAGAAACGGGCCATCAGCTGATATTAACAGATAATTGTGAAAAATATTGTACTGCCTAATTTATATTGTTTTGGGAAATTCAATTTCGACAATGGGGGGGATATGTCTTTAGCCCAGCTCCAAGTCTCAGCATTCATCTCCTCGAAATGGGTCTTTAAATGATGTGACTGTTTACTTTGTTATTTTGTGTGCGTTTGCTTGCTTGTTTGCATATGAGCAGTCCAATTATTTACTCCAGGCTGAAAACCAGCCATTTCTCTCTATACCCAGCCTAGCTATTTGGTGTAAATCTACATTTCAAACTTTATATCTCAATTTCAAGACTCCACGGATACCGAGGGACCCAGACTCTGCAAATACTTGGGTCTTTAGAGACACTATTTGAATCAAGTTATCATCAAATCCGAGCCCTCAGCAGTAACTGGCGATCAATGGATTATCACCCTCACTATCGACTCAGGGGCTCGGCATTAATATTGATTGATGAGTAGTTATAATGGAATGATTGATTATATGTTCACAAAGCTGCTCGGGGCCAATCGATGAGGCTTCTTTTCAGGGAATGAGATGGAAGCCCCTGCTTATCGTTTTCACATTTTCCCACCTCCTTGATTTTTATTTTGTTTTTTTTGTGTGTGTTTTTTTTTTGCCTTGCCGCAGATTAGCCTCTCAAGTAATGTAGGACACAATGGTGTGCCCTGCAAAATTATTATGCTGGCACAGAAAAAACAAGAGCAATGACTGTCCAACACTGCAAAACATTACCTTTTTTTCCCCAGGCTTTTGATTACATGACAGAATGCCCTAAAATAGGCAGATCTCCATAGGTTTTCAGTTACAGAAAGACTTTCAAACATGACATTAACAACCAGACAGCTATATTGATAGCTGCAGTGAGCCTAATCCACATTAATAGCAGCTTTCTGTTATTTAGCTGTGTTGACAAAATGATTAATGGCGTTTTAACTCGCCCTGCAGTCCAAAAGCTACAAAGAAAAAAAAAAAAAAAGAAAGGAGGGGAGATGTTTAAAGATCGTTTCTCCTTCCAGGCAGCGCAGCAGATCATCGAACTGCAGGAGGCGGCCCAGATCAACGCCGGGCTTCAGCCCGCAAACCTGGGCCGCAACACCAGCCTCCACGACATGAAGACCGTGGTGAAAACCTGGAGGAATCGACTTCCCATCGTTTCTGACGACTTGTCCCACTGGAGCAGCATATTCATGTGGCGCCAACACCACTACCAAGGTGCGACATACCCTCCCCCAGCACTGCCTCTTAATGTGACACCAGTAATTATAGTAACCCCCTTTTTGTTTTTTTTGTTGTTTCTTTTTTAGCTATTGTGCTTGTGTTGCAGGAAGCCACACTCTCAGATTGCTGCTTTAGTTTTCATGACTTGCAGGAAGGGGTCTTCTTTCAAAGGCCTTTTTTTTTCTCCAGAACCCCCTCAGGGTGTCTGTGCATATCTAAATGTCACCTCTCTAAAGCACACTCTCTTTCCCCACAGGATGTAACACACACACCCGCGCACACACACGTGTTTACCTTTCTCTGTGCTAAGCTCTCTCCAGCGGTGACTTTGAAACCATTCAGAGGCAGCCACTGCAAAATGTGATGTCTCAAGCAACTTGAGCTCCAACTTGCCCCCGTGAGGGCTGAAATAATGATAGCGTCGTTCGGCAGCACCTTGCCAATAAAATCCACTCCGTTTACACGCGACAGCCTTCAAACTCCAAAGTGAAATGGGATTTTTTCTTGATGGAATTCACCTTACCGCGCTTCATTTGCCGTTCAATATGTTTGATGTCCTCGGCGCCGTCCTCTGCCTTAAGACAGCAGAGCGCCAGAAGATCCCGTGTTTGTCAACAGTAAAACCTAAAAACCAGTCAAAACAAACAAAAAATTGTAATTAATTTCTGTTCTGTCTGTCCTCAGCCATTGTGACGGCATACGAGACAAACACGCAACACGACCCGAACAACAACAACGCCATGCTGGGAGTCCACGCCTCCGCTTCGGCCATCATTCAGTACGGCAAGATCGGCCGCAAACAGGTAACGGGTTCAGGCTCACAGTCGGAATAGAAATCAATGTGTGTGGCAGTCCAGATGCAGCTCTGTGATCCTTAAAGTCCCTCCCCCCCCCTCTCTCTCTGTGGTGTTTGTGAAACCCTGTCCCTCTGTGGCCTCAGGGCTTGGTGAACGTGGCCCTGGACATTCTGAGTCGCATCCACACCATCCCCACCGTGCCCATTGTCGACTGCTTCCAAAAGATCAGACAGCAGGTCAAGTGCTACCTGCAGCTGGCCGGAGTCATGGGGAAGAACGAATGCATGCAGGTGAGCTCAAAGATCTATTCGCCGCCACGTTCAGTTTTTCAAAAGGCAAAATCTCTCCTCTCCAAGTGTTTCGTCCATATGTGCCGATGCCGCTCATGTTGTGCCAACACATTTGATGTAAAAGAATTCCGGTCGGGTTCCTTTTGTGTGGAAAGGAGACAGAATTGTTCGGCGGGGCTGAGGGGAGGGCAGGTTCTAGCAGTCAGTCTTAGAATTGACTGTAACTCAGGAGCTTGCTCTTCAGCCCACAGAGTTCTCTGATTAATTGAAACTGTTCAGCGCACCACAAGTCATTAAAAGTGCCAGTGGGCCCTCTGCTTTCTTCCCCTCTCTCCTTTACTCTAGTTCTGTCTCTCCTTCTCTTTTCCCCGCGCCCCGTCCTGCGGCACATCGTTTGTCACAGCCGTACATAGGAGACACCTAATCAGAGACTTACCGTAATGGAAGCGTAGCTCCCCCAACACCTTTTCTCTCACTCCTTAATGAACAGTGAGAGCTTTGTTTGTACTCGTCTGTTGTTACAGGGCTGTCGAATACAGTATATCGCGCCATTTCAGTTGTTCTCCTCATCCTGATTTCTTAGGGTTTGGAGGTGATCGAGTCGACCAACCTGAAGTACTTCACCAAGGAGATGACGGCAGAATTCTACGCTCTTAAGGGCATGTTCTTGGCACAAATCAACAAGTACGTTCCGTTTGATTGTCTTTCTTACATCATGTGACTTTGCTCAGAGGCAGTCTTGGGCGTCTCATCTTTCTGGTGTGTGTGTGTTTTTTTGTTGTGTGTGTTTTTTGGCCTTGTGTTTCTGGAGTCATGCTCCGTACCGCCCGCCCCCCCCACTCTCCCTGTCATCTTTGACACAACGTCGCGTCCCCCGGGGGTTGAAAGGCAAATTGAGAAACGCTTATTAAATGTATATGCCGCTCAATAATTAACTCAGGGCAATTTACAGGAAATCTCTGGAATCAGCAGAACTCGCCTCCCTCTCAGCAGGGTTTATTGCAATCATTAAGTTTCCCTGACACCAGGGGAGTGCTCCCAGCGTAGCGGAGGTGAGGGCTTCGGAGTTCTCCCGCACGTTTGTGTCTGCGCCAAAGCACATGTGTTAAAGATTTTGGTATTGTTCAATTAAATGGGTGTCAGAGATTTGACAGTCTGCTGGGTGCCCGGGCTCCCGTTGAGCCGGGTAGAAGAAACCGTTAATGTACTTTAACACTTGCAAAGCGACCTGGGAAACCCCATTAAGTGTTACTGGAGGGGTCTCTGGCTCCGACTCCCTTAGCAATCAAGCTCCCAATTTTTAATCACATGCCAAAATGCCTTCCATAATAACACTTTTTAATTGATTGGTGTGGGAGACATTTCACCGGTAGTAAGTGGGAGAGTTGTTTAATAAGCACTCCTAAAATGGAGGAGCATTTGCGATCTGCACCACCGTAAGACTTTTTCCTCTCTCTGACAGACCTGTCTCCTTGTTTTGACTGGAGGAAGTGCATCTTGGGGTGGCTCTTGCATTTTATTTATTAATCACAGACTGAAAGGTACATAAAAACTGATTCAAATTGCCAGTAGTTAGAAGCCTCTCAGTTTTGTGAAAACAGCTGAAGATTCAGAATTTATATCTCCCGTCCCCCGGTAAGCGGAGCAGTCAAAACATGGCTCTGCTGCCATATTTCACCTCCGTTTCATAGCCTGCCGAGTTTGTTTTTAAAATCAAGTTAATATGTGTGGCACTTCTGGGTTGGAATCCAAGATAAAAGCTCAAAGCCAATCACGTCATATTTTCTTTTCTTTTTTTTTTCTCCTTTTTTTTTGTAAAGAAGGAAATTTCTAAAAATTAGGAAAAAGACATAGAACAAGCATTTTTTCAGGTACAAAAAAAGTAATGTTTGATGAGGAAACGGTTCATATGACACTTTCAATATCCCAACATTATAAACACAAGCCATTGTCTCCATTTATTATCATTCTTCACATATGCTCATTGGTAACGGATAGATGTAGTCTGTCTTTGTTGGAGGCCGCAGCCTGGCAATAGGCCACCAGCAGTAGCCTAAAGGGCCAATTGTAACTAAGACATGATTAAGTATATTGCTCATGAAGTTGTCTAAAAAGAGCATTCACCACAGCTGTCCGATCCCTTTGTGCTGTTTATTATCTGCTCCTAATGAAGCTTTGAATGGCTGGGCAACTGGAAAATGAGGTAGAATGATCTGCCCGTTGAGTTCCACAGCTCCTCCAGAGTTGACCATTTTTCTTTTATCCAGTCTGTGTAGTTTTTAATTTCTAGGGTGATCAGATAGCTGATGAATCGCCGCCAGTGAAAATGTTTCTAAAGACAGTAACTGGTGGAGACGCTTCGCTTTGTGTGCAGTCCATCCTCAGTCTGTCCTCTGTCCTTTTTTTTTAAGTAAACATGTTTCTACGCCACATCCCATCTCTCTCTCACCACGTGTATTGAAGTTTTAGAAACTTGTGCAGAATGTTGACGCGTGTTTCCTGTCATGCTTCTTTTTAATAGTAAAGATGAGAATTTTAAGTGAGTTATCATTTTCCTGTCAGTTGATTAAGCTGTAGCCAACACTCTTCTTAACCTCAAGATATATACATTTTTTCCCCCACTGTTGGATGCCATTTTTTTCCATCTCATCAAAAATAATTTTCCAGTTATATGTGGAACCACATACCAATATGCTGCTTTGTCTTCATATGTGTTGAGCCAACGGGTTTTTGAATAGACAACTCTTGTATATAAGTGATGAGATTACTTATGATTTCTAAAATGGGGATTTTTTAAATAAAGAACTAAATTCTATCCACAAAAAGTTTGAAACATTTTAAGAGTGCATTAATGTCTCAATATTATCTTATTTCACATGCTGTAATGTGTACCAAACTTTCTGTGGTGTTTGTATTTGAAAAGCTGTTTTGAATCCTTTTTCTAAATAAGAATGGTTAATCTGCTTTAACTTAATAACAGAATCTAATCTTTGCAACATAAACTCATGCAGCTTTAATGATATTTCCAAGATGAAAATATCAGTAAATCTGATATTATGTTATTGAACTGTGTGACCGTTTTCCTGTTTTGTCAGCAAGTTTACTCAAAAGCATTCCTGAAACTTGTATAAGAGGAGGGAATCGGACCGAAGAAACTCGTAAAGATTTCGTCTTCTCTATTTCTTGCAGTTGCTTTATCCCTGTGTTTTTTCACTCCCCAGAACTCCCGGCTCACACCAGTGCTCATCCATATTTAATTTTATTCTCCTACCCTTTGCTAACCACTTTAGCTTACTTTCCTTTGTCGTTTGCCCTTACTTGTAGTCCGTCTCTCAGCCTGGAGCGCTCATCACCTCGTTTCCTCTCGGTTCCAGGTCAGAGGAGGCCAACAAGGCCTTTTCAGCGGCGGTGCAGATGCATGACGTCCTGGTGAAGGCCTGGGCCATGTGGGGGGACTACCTGGAAAACATCTTCGTCAAGGACCGCCAACTCCACTTGGGAGTCTCCGCCATTACCTGCTACCTCCATGCATGTCGCCACCAAAATGAGAGCAAATCCCGCAAGTACCTCGCAAAGGTGATGAGGGAACTGGGAAGGAGAGGGAGGGAGGGAGGGAGGGGTTTTTGTGCGAGTAGTCAAAAAGTGAAGACTCGTTTTGAGGCGCCGATGATGACCTAATTTGCACGTCCTCCTTCAGGGCAGTTTTTCTTTTCCCCCCCTCGCTCTGAAACCAGCCACCCTCGAAACATTTAACCCAACAGTCTCAATCAGGCCTCATTGTAGACAGGATCACCTTTTCCATTCCCTCGCCTTCTGACCTCAGAACTCCTATACGTTATTGATACTGATACGATTCTGCCACGGCTAGAAGCAGAGACTTGTAATTGGATCAATGATTGTGTTGCGATTGACAGAGCAGATGGGTTCCCATAATAGATCGATGGCAACGTGAAAGCCTGCATGCTCTGGCACAGGGGCCAGCAGACTAATGGCCTCCCTAGACACTCCAGGTTTCATGACCCAGTGGCATGATTCTGCCTTTCTCTGACATTTTCTAGCATGTGGCCGGTCAGTTAGCCCTGTATGTGACAGCCTCCCAGGCCTTTACAAGCTTATACACCCTAAAATCCAGTGTACCTATTTCACATTCAGATTTGAAGTTTTTTCCCACGCCCAAGTGTCCCCGAGTCGGACTTGGGGGGCAGTAAAAAGGCCCTGACGGATGATGTCAGACGATTGGCCGTTATCGGTAATTATAGCCGATGTGTGCTCGGGCCCTGCTCACTAAAGAGCACTTGGCCAGTCAAATGAGGGTGATGTCTTCATCCTAATTTAAACGCACACCAGGAGAGAGGCCATCACCTCCGCATCGGCTCGGCTTTGATCATAATGATTTTCGAGATGCAGTCATGAAGCCGCTGTCCCGCCCCCCTCCTGCTGGGAGCAGAACAGGCAGCAGCAGACTGCCGTAAGGACCTCTCCTCTGTCTGCCTCTTGGTCCACACAGCAGTTAGTTCATTTTTAAATGTATGGAGTATTTTAACTTGGCCAATTTTCTCCTTGTTTTCTTGCTCACCTTCCGAATAATTTAACATGTATTTAAACCCGTTTTTCTAATCCTTTTCTCTTTTCTTTCTTTGGGGTTTTAAAAATTCTTCATTATTTGTGCACCTTTAGGTTCTGTGGCTGCTCAGCTTCGACGACAAGAACACGCTGGCAGACGCTGTGGACAAATACTGTATCGGAGTGCCGCCCATCCAGTGGTTGGCATGGATACCACAGCTTCTAACGTGCTTGGTGGGGTCAGAGGGCAAACCCCTCCTCAACCTCATCAGCCAGGTGAGACGGTTTCAGGATTCACATCTCCATTCCTGCAAAAGAAAATAAAAAAGATCTTAGTTTTCCAAACATCTCTCAAAGAATTTAACCAAATAGTTTGAACCCCTTCAGTTTCATGCCAGGATGTCTGTAGCACTCATTAATCATTCTTTGGCTTCCTTTATTGGTTTGGGGCGGCACATCTGGCAGGTGTGCTAGCATTAGTCCTCACGCACATCTTTCTAATCAAGATAAATTAACTGCCCTCACCTGATTTCTAGTTACCAAATCAAGCATTCAGATTTGTTCAGTGTCCCCTTTTTACAGGCTTTGACATGTCTCTGGTGAATTGGCTTTCAAATGATTTGTTAAAAAAAAAAAGATTATTCTAACGTTAATATCGTACGCATCCGCACTGCGGGAACAGAGATGGTAATTAAAGCGAGGACTAATTTGCTTTGCTTAATGGAGTATTATTTCCGCACAATTTGAAGAGGGTGATCTTCAAAGAGTGGCGCGCTCTAACAAACAGCAGAGCAGGAACACTCAGAAATGATCATATTCTGTAGAACAGAGTGAAAAGACATGAAGAGCGTGTAGGAAAGAAGCGGCGTCCTTCCTGATGGTGGTTTGATTCACGTGAGCCGTTAACTCGAAGGACAGCCTTTGGGCTTTATTGTATACGCTGCATTTATTATGGTGGGTGATTTTTAACATGGTGCTTTCATCTAAGAATTTTACCAGGGGCAGTAAAACCCTGCTCGTGAGACATCCAGAGAGCCTTTTCTGGCTTTTGTTGCTGTTTGCACCTGATGTCGGTGTAGATTTTCAGTCATCCAAGTCACAGTAATGGAGCTCATGTAAAACTGGACTTCTTTTTATTCTTGGAGACATTCCATCTCTCACCTAAAAGGCCCCTTCAGTCCATCTGATCACACACAGTAACCCCTTGACTGCAATAAATAAGACAACATTGCGTAACTTCAATAACTATTTATTTTAATGTTAATTTCTGATATTGCCTCAGCTTTCAGAATCCCTTATAACCAGAGGAAAGGCTAAACAAACGAGGCAAAGTCTAAACTTTGAATTTAAAATTAAATAAAGTCGGACAGTTAAGCTCTCATGCACTTGATGGCTCCTCTGTTTGTATCCAAGAGAGGATAAACATTGGTAAACCCGCATAAACAGAATCCCACGTTTCCACAGCAGCCTGCGTGTGTTTATTTCTTGTTTAACTGCCTCATAAAACGATCAGGAGAGGATGGCTGGAAGTAATAGGTCGACGCCGATCATCTGAAAATGGCATTTAAGCAGCTTGATTGGAAGCTTATTTTTCCAGCGTGTCACTAATGTGAACAGACGTCAGCGTCTGAAGGATTTTCCCTTCCGTGGAGATCCGGGCCTTTCTCCGCTCTGCTTTGTCACCCCCTAACAAGTGAAGGGTAAAAGGGTTGACGCCCTTTTTTTTTTTTTCCCCCTTCATATTAACGCCTTTTTGATGTAAAGAATAAAACACATTCTAATGCATGACATTCTTTATCTCTGCCGCTTGCCTGAATAATTTAGAGTTTCTCTGCGGCGGGGTGTTTAAAAAAACTTATGTTGAAATATTGATGAAGGTGAGGAGAGGAGCGCCTGGGGGCAGGCGGGAAGATGAATCAGAAGTTAGTTGAGAATCTTGGCACCTCTTCCCACACGCCCTCCCTCCCTCCATCCCTCCTCCGTTGCCTCCACCTCATCTGCCATGCACCCCCCCCCCTCCAGGCCACCTCAGCTCCCCCAAAATAAGACATTTCTTATCTAGCCCTTAATGTGATGATCACAGGTTCCTCCTCTCCCTCTCTGGCTTCCTTCCTCTTTTATCATTAATGCAGCTGTTAGCTGCCGCTCTGAACTCCTCCTTCTCCCTACTCCCGAGTTCTCCTCTCATCCTCCCGTTTGAACGTCTCATGCAGGGTACGAGACTCATAAATATCAGAATTGGAAGCGCTGCTTCTCGAGAAGGCCTAAATACCGTGCGTGTGAGGGTGTTAACAGTTCCCCAGGTGTCTGTTTGCCGGAAAGAGGAGGTTATATACTTTAGGGCCATCGCTCAAGGCGTCGAAATGACCTATGACAAAGGAAAACTCTCTTGAATAATTTAGTAGTCCATGCAGTCGGAGGATATTTGCATATCGTTTATAACCATGGGTCAGCTCATTGTTCCCCTCGGCTCAATCCAGAATAAGATGGCAGAGGAATGCGGACAATGCCCCCCCAAAAAAAAGAAAAAGCAGAGTGGCTGCAAAGCACTGCTCAGCCTTCGGCAGAAGTGTTTAAAAGGCATCTTCCTGTTTCTTCCTTGCCCTAACCCAGTACCCCTGTCAGCCTCCACCTTTAATCTTGTTTAGTTTAGTCTTTCTTGTTGAGGTGTGGTGATATCGCTTTCCTGCCCCGCAGGTATATAAAAGGGTACAGTAAGGATCAAGTGGCCATGTAATTGCTGCTTATAAAATTGCACCCTGAGACCTAAGAGAGCCTTGTGGTTTGGTCTTTTACCAAAATCCTGTCAAAAAAAGGAGGGGGGCTTTTTTCCTTTCATGCAATAACATTTTGTCTGCTCAGATATTTTTTTTTAGTAGCAAATGAATAGCTAAGGCAAATATTTGAATCATCATCATCAGGGCAAAGACAAAAGCTTTTAAGAAAACTACAGATTTATATGCTTAGATTTTATGGGGTGTTTATGTGTGCAGTGTACAGTTTTCCAGAAGAGGCGTTTAAAACCTTCCCGGCCCAGAACTTTCTTGCTCAACCTTCTTCTTGGTTTCTCTTTGCACTTCCTGGCTCTCCATCGTCTTCTTTTTCAGCTGTTTCTGAGTCCTCGGTATCTCCGTCTCCCTCCCCGATGGCGTTCTTTTTCATATTCAGCAGATTTTTCGGGTCACTGGTGATCCAGGGTCTGTCGTTCAGGGAGAACGTTACAGTGCTAGTGGGAATTGTAACTGTAATCTGTCTCACACTGCCGCCTGGCGTCGATATCGTCTCCTTGTGATTTGACGTGCCTTCCCGTCTTTCCTTTAAAGCGGGCCAACGATTCATCATCAAACTCCAGAGAAAATGTTTTAAAAGTTTTGACAGGCTTCTGCTAAACAATGGGCGCATAGTTTGAGATGATTTTCCCAATGGAGGCAGGTCAGATGAGCTGTGTGCGTCTTTGATATTAGTCCAACTTTTCTCTGAAGCAGGTAACAAACTCTTGGACTTGTTTGAGATCTTACAGCTGACGAGCATCTCCTCCCCGGCTCCGGATGTTTAATATTCTGCTAGTCATCCTCGACACTCTCGACCTGTCCAATATCGAAGGAAGACCCGATCAGTTTATCTGCCTCCACCTTGTCTTTCATCCAGCCTGACATCTGCGTTGTTCCCTCGTTAATTGTTTGGGGTTTAAAACTCAGCCTGTGATTAACGACTCGAGACTTTGCGTGGCAACTCATCATAAGAGGTGCTGAAAAAGTGCCAAAAATGCAAAGAAAATCCCTCAAAAATACCAGCGGCGCCACGGCAAGTCGCGGCCAGCTTCGCGCTGCATTTCAGAACATGTCCAAGGCCGATGAATATTTCACTGCGATTCCTCCCCAGTGCCGGTGTGAATTGTTGCATCCCTGTCAGCTGATCACAAATGTGGGTTTTGAATTCAGGGAGTGAATGTCTGGGTGTTTGATCAAACTTCAAAGGCAAATGCTGCTCTCTGGGCTTTTTAATCAGCTGTTTGTTAAAGGCATTTGTTCTATGCTTATGAGCGGTTTGAAACCTCTTTCTGGACGCCCCCGCCGTGGTTAGTTCTGCTTATCCTTTAAACCCCCACACTAAAATGATGAACAAACAGATCCTGTTTGTTATTTAATGTTCAAGACAAATATAGCTGAGAAATTCTTTTGAAAAACTCGAACCCAGTCCTGTCCTCACTTTAACCATTTAGCCTTCTGGGGCTTTCAGTCACTTTTTGGAATGTCTTAAAGGCACTTTCATCATCAGTCACATTCACTTTTGTAATTCATCCATGACTTGTTTTCACCTTCCCCAACTCCCCAGACTCAATGCTTCAAACGCTCTCTGTTCAGGTCTTCGGCTGTATCGGTCTGATCTCTCTCACTGATGCGTACAGTGTGTCTCCACACCTCCCTCTATCTACATCGCATCCCTCTTCCCCCCCCGTCTGCCTCTTCGCTCTTCTTAGGGATACTGACAGAGTGTCTTTGAAATGTAATCGGTGACCCTCTTTTATCTGTAGGTGGGACGAGTGTACCCCCAGGCTGTCTACTTCCCGATCCGCACCCTTTACCTGACTCTCAAGATTGAGCAGAGAGAACGTTACAAAAGTGGTAAGAAAACAGGCATTTTTTTTAAAAACTCATGAATTTCCTCTCACCCGCTAGTCTGTGCCGATCTGTTCACGCTGGTTTCCCGCCGCTCTTCTTCCCATTTAATGTCTGACTCTTGAGATATTTCCCTCCTGACCCTCGGCCTCTCCCTCTTCATTCAGACGCGTCCGGTCAGCAGCAGCCCAGCTCGGTGGGGGCCCAGCCCCACTCCGGGGCCTCCGACCCGGGACCCATCCGAGCCACCGCGCCCATGTGGCGCTGCAGCCGGATCATGCACATGCAGCGGGAGCTGCACCCCACCCTGCTCTCCTCCCTGGAAGGCATCGTGGACCAGATGGTTTGGTTCAGAGAGAACTGGCATGAGGAGGTGAGAGGGACGAAAGGCGGCGGCTTTCTGAGGGTCTGAATTTTAGCGCTTTGTGAATAGATGGTGGGAACATCATGCACCTGGTGGTGAGAGTGTTTTGCATAGAGGTATGATCAAGAACAGCCTGTATCTGTATTATATAGGCACATATGCACAAGATTTTTCTTGAAGAGTGGAATTTAGATTTGGGGAAGAAACATGGCAGACGTCAGTAGAGATGGCAGATGGTATTACGGCTGCACCACAGTATTAATTAAGCAATCAGTTAATTGATTGATTGGATACAAAATGCCTAAAAATGAGTTGATTGATAAAGAAGCAAGCTGAATAATGAATATTTATCGTAGTACTAAAGTACACACAACTGAACTCCAAGTAAAGTCTGTTTTTAACAGTTTTTTGTTCCTGTAATCACACAGTACAGTAAGTGTGAAATAACAGGTTAGGTTACAGAGGCTTTAAATATGCAGTGTTATCTTTTTGTGTGTGTGTGTGTGTGTGTGTGTGTGTGTGTGTGTGTGTGTGCTAAAATGACTGAGAATAGTTTTTCACATTACCAGCATACGAGCTGATGATGCTCTTATGTTCAGAGGGGTAGATAACAATGAGGGCAAAGGGAATGGGAGAGGACATTCAACCAAAGGGCTCCAGGGTGGGAATCGATCCCGGGCCGGTGAGCCACACGGCGCCCACACACCCCTGCTTCTGGGATCAGTCACCCGCCAGCATTTCATTGTGAAGCGTATCGTGTGAACATCGGCCCAGAGAAAATGGTCCAGACAGACATTTTTGAAGTGGCTGCAGCTGTTGTAGGCGGCGTCCAAACTGTTGGTAAACCAGCGGTTCAGGAGAATTCTTTTTTCTCTTCGTGGAGAAAAGACTGAGACAAGTGATGTATGGGTGCGGTGAGCACGTTGGATTGGCCCCGGGATTTTGGGGCCGAAGTTTAGTGATGTGTATGTGCATCTGCGCTATTGGCTGAGATGATTCGCGCGGGGGGGGGACGCCGCGGCAGCTGCCGGCTCCATGCTTCATTCCACCGGATGAGCGTTTGGAATGCAGGGGAAAGGTGGGCCAATGTGTCTGTGCCTTCACTCCCTTTTATGTGGATGCCCTCATGGTGTGAACAAATGCATTTCCATCCCTTGAAATATTCTACTTTAACCTATCATTAGTTTTCGAATGGATAGAAAACTCATTCAGAGGAAACCCAAAACACAAGGGGGTCCCCGAGATGTGAATTATTTCAGTATTTCATCGTTGTGACTCCCTCACCATTTTATTCCCTGCAGGTTTTGAGGCAGCTCCAGCAGGGTCTGGCCAAGTGCTACTCCGTGGCCTTCGAGAAGAGCGGCGCCGTGTCCGACGCCAAGATCACGCCACACACCCTTAACTTTGTCAAGAAGCTGGTCAGCACCTTCGGCGTGGGCCTGGAGAACGTCTCCAACGTCTCCACCATGTTCTCCAGCGCCGCCTCAGAGTCGCTGGCCCGCCGGGCCCAGGCAACCGCCCAGGACCCCGTTTTCCAGAAGATGAAGGGACAGTTCACAACAGGTTGGTTTGCTCAGATCCAGGGCAGGCACCTGTCTCCATTCGTTTTAAAAACTTAGTAGGTCTCTCACTAAAGTTCAGCCAGGTGTACCGAGTCACAACTTCACAACACACACTTGGAGATGAGATGCGATTAAAACTGTGAGGCGCTTGCTGGTAGAAGACCATAAACGCTGTTTTTGCAAAGTTTTCAACAAGGTGTGACAATTAGCCAGGTAACAGAACCAGCATCACCTCCTTGCTTCTCTCCTTGAGCTTCGTTAAAATGGAAGTGTTTGAGCCATGAAATCAACTCTACAAGTATCAGGATTTTTATGATAGTTACTTGCTTAGGTAAATCTCTTATTATCAGACCAGAACTGATACACTGATATGAAATGTCATATTTCAGTGATTGATTTTTAGCATAAAAAATTAAGGGATATTTTTCCAACCTGAAAATTAAATTATAATCTGTATGTTAAGTTTTTACATATTTGAGTCATATTTAAGGCTCTGAAGATTTGATTTTCTATAATGGTTGTCTGTTCTGTGATACAGCCACAGATTTGTTTTAAAACTCATTGTTGGAAATGTTATTCTAAAGCAAAAGTCTGAGTCCATCTGAGGAAGTAACAAATAGAAATGTATTAAAAGGGAAAACTTCATGAAGTGAGAGCAACCAGCACGATTATACAAGTGGTTCATATGACGCACAACGCTGCTCTGAAGTAAAACAAAGCATAGTACATTTTCTACCCCTCTCTGAGTCTAAAATGAGGAGTAAAGTCTGTCTCCCATCATAGAGGAACCTGCACCTGTACCAAACAATCCTCAAGCCAAAACATTAAGATATTAACTATAAGGAGACCTTCTCTGAGACCTTGAAGGAGGAAAGAGAAACTTTTAAAATATGCACTGCTGGAAAGTTACCAGAGAGAAGTGAATAAATTGATTATACATATATTGATTTCCCTCACACTCATCAAACCAGTTCCTTAGACATTTATGTGTGACTATGGAAGAGGAGTGTTTTGTACGTTGAGTTTCATGTGCAAACTGTGGAATCTAACAGGCCAGGTGCTGGTTTGGTGCAGCCAAGGTCCCCGCTGAGACACTTTTTTCCCCTCTCAAAACAATCCTCCCCTTGTTTTTGAAGGCCGTGTGTTTTTCTACATTGCACAAGGCAGTTGAGCGGCGGTTAAACGAGACTGCTCTTCAGCTCCCCAGAGTTCCCAAAGTTTTTAAATAAGACCCTCATGCTTCTTTTTGCCTTTTTAAAACTGGCAACCGAATCAACTTGAATCCATTTTAATTCCTGGAGGATTGGTGGATTTTTTGCATCAAATGCCTCCATTTTTCCAGGTTAATCTCTTGTGTGCTCTTTGCCCTGTCACCGATACTGAGAATGCCCAGTGGGTTTGTTGGGATCCGAGAAAAGAGAAAAAGAAGTGGTGGGCTGCTTGATGGAAATAAGAAAATAAGGTTGAGCAATAAACTAACTAGCATGAAAATAATAAAAACGGACCATGGCATTAAACAAATCTAAAATGATAACGAGAGAGTGGGAGTAAAGACGGGTGAGATGGTTTTTTGTGTGCGAAAGTTTGTGAAGTGCACAGGAACTAATTGAGCGAATAACGCCCCGCTTATGAGTCCCATCATACGGTGAGGGGTCCAGCTGTGCTCACATAGCCGGGCATCTACAGGGCCTCTCTGCCTCCCGGGGTGCCCGCCGACCGTGGCTGCACAGCTGTCCCCGCGGCGCTGCAGGGGCTGGGCCGACAGAGACCCAAAACCACACAAGCCTTCCCGGGCGGAACAAACGGGGTTTGCCGAGCAGCCAAGCTCCCATTTCCCCCCGCACCGCGTTACTGGCTCGCTCGCTTTCTCAGAGTTTGTGGTCTGGAAAATATGGGTTTATGTGTGCACATATAACATTTGGCAGCAGGGAGGCATTCAAATCCAATTACAGAGAATGCTTTTTTGCATGAGTTACTGTTTTAGCAGTAGTACAGTGAGTTTCAGAGACGTTTGTAGGAAGAGTGTTCTTATGTTTTAAAAATGGACAAATTTCATGGCTTTATATATGAAGAAAAAAAAGCTCTGTCTGTTGAAGTAATTTAACCCAATGAAATTGCATCTAAGATAATTAATATATTTTTAACCTATGCTTCTTCGATTTGTGGTCAGCCAGACGCTGAATTTGTGAACTTTCCTTGTCGTAAGCCTCACTATCCCCATCCGTGCTGCTTTGGTGAACTCTGACACTCTCATGACTTCAGCTCACCAAATAGCCGTAATAGAGCTGAATCTGCTGTGCACACGCACACACACACACCCCTAGCACGCACACATCCTGGCTATCCCACACTTGAGTCAAGAGCATGGCTGGACGTAAGGGAATGATGCTTCTATATACAGAGGTGGCCCACCTCCCAAGACTGCTTTCATAATTTGGTGCAGCCGTGCAGATCCTCTGCTGTCTGTCAGGCCGGCCAGAGCGGGGCAACAGCAGCAGCCCTGGTTTCTTTACACAGGTCAAGGGAGCAGCCCGGCTATTTTCCACACTGCACTCTTTTATCATCTTCCTGGTCCCCTGGAGCCGGGGTCAAAGATGAGTTCATGGAGACTGAAAATAGCTGTCTTCTGGTTATACTTTCTGTGTTGCAGGCATCACACAGCAGAGCTGTGGTTTTTCTTTTTTGGCACACACACATTTAAAACGGAATGCACTACAAGTTTGGTAGTAAACAGTATTCATATTAACACTCACAGTTTGGTTATCGACTGTTTCAAATACCTTGAAACATTGGAACACTGTACTGGTGTTATTGGGATTATAAGTAAGGTCAGCGTTTTGCTCGCAGCCGTCTTCACATTTAAACAAGCCGAGTGTTTTATATCGGATAATCTTAGAATGATATTATGTTCCCCCGTGCCATTGAGAGTGAAGCATTTTCTCGTGTTTTCTATTTGTGAGCATTATATGCTTTTACGGTTGTCCAGCCGCAATTTCACCGGAGCGTTTCAATTTTACTCCTGCTATCAAGTCAGGTGAATTGCAGGAAGACTGATAGCAAAATAGGGCCACTCCGAAAAGAACATTGGCTGTTTTAAAAGGCTTATTTAAAGCATTAGGAGGTCTCACTCTGGCACAGATTGCAGATGTTTGAAATAGCGAGGCCTTGCAGCTTCGTGGATTTATTAGGAAAGGCTGCATTACAGTGTGCTGAAACAGGAGAGGCGGCGGTGTGTGCGTGCGCGTCTGCGGGTTTGCCCGTTCATTTTCCAGAAGCGTCAGAGGAGCTTTGCTCTAAAATGGAAAACCTGTTCGGCTCACTTGTCGGCTCCTCCATTGTTATTGACACAGTACCTTATGTGCAACACCAGCTGTAACTCAAAACAGAAATTTTATACCTAAGATGTTTTTAAAAAAAAAGTTTTTATTGCTCTAATTGAATGCATTTTGTCCTCCAACAGTTTAAGTTGACTTACTTGTCTTCTGAGTTCCCTTAACATGACATTACATCTCACAGCCTGTTGTGATTGGCAACAAATGCAGTAAAAATTTTAGATTTGAACTGTGTATGACCACCATTATCCTACACATCTGGACTGTGGCATAGTTTTTAGTGCAGAGTAGCTGACTAAAAGTGTGCAAAGTGGTTCTTAGTTGCATACGATTTGGCTTTGTGTGTCTTCTCTGGTGCCAGTACCACTTTTTAGTTTTAATCCTGTGATCTAAGCAAAGATCCGCACGGAAGGCCAAAGCTTGGTGCTGCCAGCAACTGTCTTTAGTATTGTTCTTCATTTTTAAAGATATTGTCCTCTTGTCACTGTTATTGATCTAAAACCAGGCTGCCATTTCACCCTCTGGTTTTTCTCCTCCGCATACAGACTTTGACTTCAGTGTGCCAGGCTCCATGAAGCTCCACAACCTGATTTCGAAGCTGAAGAAGTGGATCAAGATCTTGGAGGCAAAGACCAAGCAGCTGCCCAAATTCTTCCTCATCGAGGAGAAGTGCCGCTTCCTCAGCAACTTCTCCGCACAAACTGCCGAAGTGGAGATCCCCGGTGAATTCCTGATGCCCAAACCCACACACTACTACATCAAAATTGCCAGGTGAGGGGTTCTCTTCCGCAGAAAAGGGTTGTAAAGGGGACTGTGGGGTTCAAACCGTTTGGCTTTGAAAGCAGCTCGGCCTCCCACCAGAGCTAAACACACATATCAGGGTACCACCTGCTCAGTCTAACTACCGGATGCCGATGGTGGTGAAAATATCAAGTCAGGAGGGAAAAAAGGGTTTTAATTTGTTTATTTAAAAATCCCTCTCAAGGTTCATGCCCAGAGTGGAGATCGTGCAGAAGCACAACACGGCGGCGCGGCGCCTTTACATCCGCGGCCACAACGGGAAGATCTACCCCTACCTGGTGATGAACGACGCCTGCCTCACCGAGTCCCGCCGAGAGGAGAGGGTCCTGCAGCTGCTGCGCCTCCTCAACCCCTGTCTGGAGAAGAGGAAGGAGACGACCAAAAGGCACCTCTTCTTCACTGGTATGAACAGGGTGGTGTGTTTTTGTGTGTGTGTGTGCGAGTTACCACCATATTTGAGGATTCGATTTTTACTGTTTGTTGACAGACCAGAAGAAGAGAGAAATGCCCATTCTTTGACACTTAAACATTTTTTTTTCATACAAGCGTTGTTTCCTCTCTGGTCTTCCCCATTCATCTTTTTTTTTAGCGCTCTCACTTGGCTAAGTATCTTGCTTTAGGTTAGTGGTTTAGGTCAGTGGTTTACTTTGTGGTCAAACAGAACTCGGTGCCGGCAAATATTTACAGCTTCTTTATCCCTGGTCCCACTCTGCTCGCTCTGATTTTTTTTTCATTCCCTTGGGCTCAACTTGATTAAAATCCTTTCTCTCCGTCTCTTCCTGACTTCTTTTGTACCCGTCTCCTCTCCAGTTCCCCGAGTGGTGGCCGTGTCGCCCCAGATGCGGCTCGTGGAGGACAACCCCTCGTCCCTGTCGCTGGTGGAAATCTACAAGCAGCGCTGCGCCAAGAAGGGCATCGAGCACGACAACCCCATCTCGCGATACTACGACCGTCTGGCTACCGTGCAGGCCCGGGGCACCCAGGCCAGCCACCAGGTGTGGGAGAAAACCCCCAAGCGCAACTGCAGTTCTTTTTATCGAGAATACAGCTACAGTCCTGTGTCCCTCAAGCTCATTGTCAACTTTCTGTAATTCTTAACCCCCCCCCTGGGCCCCCCCCCCCCCCCAGGTCCTGAGAGACATCCTGAAGGAGGTGCAGGGCAACATGGTTCCTCGCAGCATGCTGAAGGAGTGGGCCCTCCACACCTTCCCCAACGCCACCGATTACTGGACCTTCCGGAAGATGTTCACCATCCAGCTGGCCCTCATTGGTCTGGCAGAGTTCATGCTTCACCTCAACAGGCTCAATCCAGAGATGCTGCAAATAGCACAGGTAAGGACACACAAACACACACACACACACACACACACACAGATGCTCTGCATGTTGGACTTCCTGTCAAGGGCAAGAAGGATCCATTTGGCAGGCGCTAATTTAACAGTTACACGCGCTCAAAGATGCATTAAGAGATCGCTATTACTCTCCCCATCTCGGGCCGTATGAATTACAGTTCTCCCCCATGACATTCACGCTGAGCCTATCAGTCAGTCGGCTCCTGTCAATGCAAAGAGTGTTTTGACAGAGCCTCATACTCTGTCCCTCTGCTCAGTTATCAAAGACGTTTCAATTTGAAAAGCCCGTGTTTGTGCGTTTCGCACGTCACCCTCTCAGTCAACACACATCCGTCCGCTGCCCTCTCAAAGTCATTATTAAAGATGATTCTGTCGGCCGCCACCCCCCCCCCCTCTGATCCTAATCGGCCTTTGCTGACAGGCGTTCCTCCGGGCAGCTAAGCGCTGGTATTAAGCCCCCACTCTGCCTGTTCCACTCCACAGATCCCATTAGACACAGGGGGATTACGGTGTGGAGTGTCTCCGCGCACACACACATACACACACACACACACACACACACACACGCACACAAAGAGGGAGTGCAAGGACAGGACATCACAGCAGACGCGGCGTACCTGACCCTGTCTAGCAGAGACCTTATGTTCCCTCACAGAGCTCGCCGACGCTCCAAGACAGCCACAAAAAGCCACAAGTGGCGTTCGTCTGGCCTTAATTCGGATAAAAAGCCCAATTTAACAGCACAACACAAGGCGCGAAGCCCAGAGTCTTCGGGGCACTGACTGTCGGGGCATCTCCACCGATGTCTAATGCAAACTGCAGAGCTCTGTGGTTAATGAATATCCCCCCTGCGTTCATGTTCCAGTGCTCTAAAGCAACTGCGCCCATCACAGTGACACTTCAACAGCCCAATAAATGAAAATTGGCCTCTCTAGTAAATAATGCTATTGTCTGGGTGGCGCGGAGTGGAACAGCTCTAACAAACAGCATTTAAAATATGCACCCGGAGGCAAAGTCAGCGGGGTTCTCATTTCATCTGTGCAGCCATAATAGAAAATAATGTCTAGGAAAGGCTTTAAAAAAAAAAAAAAAAAAAAACAGCACATCCCACGCAACACAACAGGATACCGAGATGGAGCAGAAAGTCGATCAGGTCACACACGGCTCTTTGACCCTCTTGGCCATTGCGGAATACTTTAGTTACCTTGACAACTCGCACGGCGGCCGGGTGACTCAGTGACCCATATGTGACCGTATCGACTCGGGTTACTAACAATCCCACAGGAGGTTAAATGCCCATGACTTCCCACAAGTCAGTGCTGATGAAGCCCTTTGGATAGAACGGTCAAACGGAAGAAAGTCCAGATATCTTTCCTTTGCATGCGGATTCAGCCCCACAGAAACGTCCTTAACATCTAGCAAAACACAGACGGGCCTTTTTTTTATTTTAGCCTCTCTAAAAATCAGCAATACCATTTTCCTCCAGCGTTTTTGTTTCGGGCATACTTCATGTGTTAAGTCGCTAAGTTGCACATGAAAGAACTTGAGGTCTAGACGGATTCAAATGTGGAGCAGGATTCGATTGTTTTTCCCGGTTTTATTCGGGTCTCGCTGTTGGAATGCAAAAGGGTCAGAGGTTGATCAGAATCAGAATCAGAAATCAGAAATACTTTAATAATCCCAGAGGGAACACGTCCTAAGCAGAAAATTTTTAAAACAAACTGTCATAAAGAGATCCACAGAATGATTTAATTGTGTTACATCTTTAGAATATTTTAAATTCTCCCTTCCCATCTGTACCGTTCATTGTGTTAATATCTTCGTTGTTCTTCATCTTCGCATGAAGAACACTAGGGCAGCATCATTCATTCACGCCAGCCTCCAAATAAAGTAATCACTGGCCTCTGGTGTGGTGATTTAGCATTCTCACTGCTCCCTCCTCGGCCAGCTCTCTGCAGGCTTATCTGAGCCTCCCGGGGCTGCTGGTGTCTCAGCCCACTGCCTCCGGGCCCTCTGCGGGGGCCCGTCCAAGCAAACGACAGCAGGCGAGAGAGGGGGAGTTATGGAAAAAAAAAAAAGAGGAGGCTGGGAGGAGTGCAAGCCCGGGCTGGAATGAAATGCCGCGTCATAAAGCTGTCACAGCTACTCCCTTTTTCATACGAGGGGGAGCTTATCTTTCCTGGAATGGCTGCTTGTGTAGTGGACCTCTAGCACATAAACGCAAGCTCAAAAGATGAAACCCCAGCTGTATATATTTAAGTCAGCGGGGAGCAACAGGAGGACGAGGGAGGGAGAGTGGGAGCGAAGTGGGGGATTATTGATGCTCCGCTGAAGATAGTTTGACATTTTACTGTGTCTGGGTCACAGAGATCAATAGCGGCGGCCATCTTTGTTGGCAGGAGCTTACCGACGAAGAGCACTTCTCACTCCAGACTGTACTCTGTGTTTTAATGAGGGTGTTTTTCCAAAGCGGGGCTGACTTTACGGTTCGTTTAGATTTTATTTTCTGACCTTTTTCTTTTTTTTTTTCTTTTTTTTCCCAGGACACGGGCAAGCTCAACGTCTCCTATTTCCGCTTCGACATCAACGACGCCACGGGCGACCTGGACGCCAACCGCCCCGTCCCGTTCCGCCTGACTCCAAACATCTCCGAGTTCCTGACCACCATCGGCGTGTCCGGCCCGCTGACCGCCTCCATGATTGCGGTAGCACGGTGCTTCGCTCAGCCCAACTTTAAGGTAGCTCATCTGTCAGAGCCTGTCAGCCTTGTACTTAACTAAATATTTTACGAAGTTGTGGAGTGAGAGGTATTTTTCATTTTATTTTTGGGCGATAATAAATCTCCTGGGTTGTGAAATGGGATTTTTTTTCCCCCTCCTCCCCTTTCAGTCTAATCAAATAAATGCACCACTTTAAGACAAATTCCTCTAAAAAAGACTGCGATGAATGGCGATTACTCAGCAATGAAGCTTTTAATTTGGGTGAGAGGTTCAGGTCCAGGAAGACGGTGTCGTTTGTTGCCAAGTTTAATCTCCCCCTCGAGCTGAGCAATTGTTGGCTCCTAAACTTAGATAAACCCAGAGGAAAAGAGCCCCAGAGCGCAGGGAGACACAATGCAGTGGAGAACAGCAGCAGTCAGACGCTCCTAGAAGAGGCGTTGGGCAGTAATGACAGGCGTGTGGCGTCTGTGAGGGAGTCTGGCTCGCACTCTGTCCGACAGATGCGGAGGATGAGCCGGTCCTTGAGAAATGCGAATAAACAAAAACACAGCGCGCGGGGTGTGTGTGCTCGTCAAGGCGCAATCAGAGGCAAAAGAAAAAAAGAACGTTACAAAGGAGCACAATAAAATTACACTCCGGTAACAACCTGCCACTCGCAAAGAGCCAAGCCGTGAACCAGATAAACACTCCAGCGTTCCTCCAATCATTAAAAAAGGCCGTTGGTAAGGTATGTTGAACGGTTGTGACCGCCAGAGCTGTGGCCTGGATTGCTGTGCTTTTTCATTCCTTTTGTCACCATAATGAGCTGAGATCCTCCCGAGGAGGTCAGATGAGACTCTCAGCTACTTTGGGATGCTGGTCAAAGGAGAACGACTGACCTAGAGCAACATCAGGAACGTTTTTACATTTTAAAATCTGTTCTCTCCCAGGTGGACGGCATCCTGAAAGCGGTCCTCAGAGATGAGATCATAGCCTGGCACAAGAAGACCCAGGAGGACACGTCCATTCCGCTGTCCCCGGCCGGTCAGCCGGAGAACATGGACTCCCAGCAGCTGGTCTCCCTGGTCCAGAAGGCGGTCACGGCCATCATGACGCGCCTCCATAACCTGGCTCAGTTCGAGGGAGGCGAGAGCAAGGTGAACACTCTGGTGGCCGCCGCCAATAGCCTGGACAACCTGTGTCGCATGGACCCCGCCTGGCACCCCTGGCTCTGAGGGACCCACATGCAGTGGACTTCAGGAAGTAGGACTAACATGTCTGTTGTATTACATCTATTTCAAACCCTGACAAAGGTTCAGAGGCGAACGCCGCTCTGCACTGAACCCAATGGACTTTAATTTGTACCTTGATTTGAAATACACTGAATTCGTTCAAAAAGAGGAATCGAGTTGAAACAAAAGCCCTGATTGTCAGGTTGTTTGTGTGAACAAAGCTTTCCATTATACTTTATACCTCTGTTTTTTTTTTTTTTTTTTTAAAAATTAAAATTTTTTTTTTTTTTTCTTAACTTGTATTTATTTTTCTAACAAAAAGACAGGGAAAACCAGTCTAATGAACTTAAGGGAGCTTATTTAAGAGATGGGTGGTCATTCTGTGTCTTGACTATCTGGTCTTTGACATGCATCAGGAGATTGTTACCCTCATTCTTTTTCTTTTTTTGGGAAAGTCATAAGATTCGTATTTTTTTACTCTAACCGGAGCATCCTCTGTCCCCGCTAAATTAGGAATATTGTTTTGAACAACGGAGGACTCTCTTTTTCTTAAGGGAAAAAAAAAAAACGAACTATTTGATCTGCTTGGAAATTTCTAAGATATCTGGATGATTTTATGACAGAAGCCATATTGATACTCACATTTGTTTGGTCTATTTTATCATTCACGCCAGCCGGCCCTGTAATAAGCTAAAATAGCTGTGATTCAAACGCATCATTCCCAGAATGGCTGTGTTTTCATACTCCTTCTCATTTTGTAAAAGAAGTACTGTCGCTTGCTTTGTAAATAAGCATTTTGTTGTAATAAAATGCTCTTTTTATTATTTAGACGTGGTGTTTTGGTCTTTTGTCCCCCCTCCGATTTTAATTTCCTGCTGAGTTTCTTTACTCCAAAGCAAACTAATGCATCTTCCAAATAAGCTTCAACAGCGCTCTCAATAACCATCAGGCTAAACTCACAATTAGTTTTACTCCTCGGTAGTTATTTCTCAGCCGTTGTAAAAACAGCGGTAATCCCCAATCTGCGGCTCCCATCCTCTGCATCACTGTCTCGGCCGTAATCACCCCGGAGAAGGCGCTCTGGGACATTATTGCCGTAATATATCAAGCTGTGAAATGACTCTGAATGAACTGGACCCCGGTGCTGAAAACTCTATTGCCGTCATCTTCATGCTTGGCAGTCTGGAGACATTAAGGAGGAGGCAGTCCTGGATCGGTAGTGCCTGTCTGGTGGAGATACAGTAACCTTTTGGTCCTTCCCTTTCCTTGGTAAGAACGTCTTCCAGAGGTAAGTGTGTGCCTTTCCACCCCCCCCCTTCCGACCTGACAGGGCCTGATTAATGTGTGCCAGCAGATCTTGGAGTGGGCCGGCCTCACTTGACTTATACACACTGTCAGTGAGCCCGCCTGTGCCCATAAACAAAGGTTATATCTCTGTTTGCCTCCACAGAATCCACGCAGGCCTCTGAATCCTCGTCCGACTCGCACAAGAAGGGGCCAGCACTGTTCGGGAGCCGCAGATCTCCCCTCCGTTTGCCGTCAGAAAGAAGCCCCGGGATGGTTTGTATAAACGCCCGACGGTTTGTTCGTTTTTTTTTCCTTCTTCCCACACCGCTCCAAACTCTGAAACGCTCATAGAAATGTTTTCGCGTGGTTTTATCGGGATGTTTATCCCACCCCGCGCGCCGTTTCCTGCCAAGGTGAGCGCCGTCATCGGCAAAATATGACTATGTTTTTCATGTTTTTGCGATTCCTCGCTCGGGAGATACTCCCACGTGTGCAAACTATCCCCGAAGAGAAAAGTGAACTTGTGAATCTAAAAATGAAACGCCCAAAGTCAACGTGTCTAAGAACAGGACCTTTCTTTTCTGGGCTTATAGGATCGTAACGGAAGTTTCCACCTAAGTTTATTACCAACATCGTAAATTAAATGACACCAAATGCTGTGAAATCGGTTCTAATTGCAAAAGCTTTTAAAGGTTTCCCTTATTTCTTTGCCACATGAAGCTGTGGGCTGCAGTGTTTCTGGACGCCTGTCAAAACATAGCACATGGCCATGGTCCTGCAAAGGTCAGTGTGAAGTAAAGTTTAAAACCAAAAAAAAGAGGTGCCATGCATTTTTTTTTTCTTCCCTCCAGCAGCTAATAAAGACAGATAAACCCCACACGTTTAATTTGAGCTAAATTGCAGTTTGTTCCCTCCATTAGCTCACAGTTGGCAGAGGGCAGCCACATCTCCTAATGGCTTATCCACAATTAAAACTGGAACCAGTTTTTAGCTGATTTTTTTTTTATTCTTCCCCCCAAGCAGCTCAATCCATTAGAAACAGTAAATGCTAGGGCTCTCTCTGTTGACTTTTTAAGGCGTCTAAAACAATATAAAAGAACATAAGTAACGGCTTTTTCAGCAAATAACCAAATCAATAGGTATGTACTCGGAACTGACCGTTTCTTGGTGTTACAGATTTAAAAAAGGATTTTCGTGTTTGTTCTCAGATTATCTCCACTGTTCAGGTCCAAATTTACAGCTATTAAATGTAACTTTTGGGTAAAAAAAATTAAAAAAAAGAATTACAGTAGTCTTTAATCTTACTTCGAGATCAGATAACAGTCCCCCAGCAGCTGTCCTAAAACGTTGTTGTTGTGATGATGTGCCAACCAGATTTCCACAGTAAAGCAGTTTTTCCTCACCTTCTTTGTTTTCTTTCTTTAAAATAGTTGAGATTGGTTAAAGGACTCATCAGCTGGGAACAGCGAAAGTCAAAGGTTTCGTGCCATTCTCTCAGGTGTGGCCCTCGGTGCAGCCTTGTTTATTATTGATGGCAAAAAGTCAAAAGACTAAATGAAAGCAGTGCTCTGGAGACAAAGACCAGTCCAAGTGCTGGATAATCAGATCGAGACAGAGTCAGACACAGAATGCATTATGGTCTAAACCCCCTTTTTTTTTTTTTTTTTTAACTCAAACAGGAATCCAGATTTGTTCCCCCCTTCTGTATCTCCTGTTCAGAGGCTGATTTCGGCTCATTCCTGTCCCGCTGAACCATTGCTTATGTGCCAGCGTTTGGGATTGGCATCTATTTCGCGCTTCAGCCGTCTGCTCCTATTTCCGACAGATTAGGTGAAAACGGGAAACATTCCGAAGTAGGGCGCACGTGTCGTCTCCCCCTCAGATGTGTCCAACTTTGGAACCAGAAGGGAGCATTAGACAGAAGCAGCAGTCAGGCCCCTTTGTTTCCTTTCTTCATACTCAATTAGACTGATAAAATGTGTGTTTGGGACAAAATGCCAACCCCACCCTCAACACACAACATCTCCCTTGTGCTAAAACAGCCCCGGGGGGGGGCAGGTGTAGGTGTAGAGCCTGGATGGTCCACCTGGGACCGCAAAGCAAGAATAGATCCTGGAAGGACCAGGATGATGAAATCTTCCCCCCCCTCCAGTCAACCTCAGCCGGAGAATCTTTAGGGAGGAGATGAAAAAACGGCATTTCTCACCAACAAAGCTGTCATCACATCACCTGAGCGACTCCCTTTGGATACGGAGGAATAAAAACACACAGCTGAGGTTAAACCTCGGTGAAGCTGTTCCTCAGTATTAAGGAGACGGAGGTGATAAACGCTTATCCGACACTTTACCCAACCTCTGCCCTCTTCTCATAATTCATCATTCAAGATCAGGAGGGGAGAAACAACTCCTCTTTTTTCCATTTAATAATAATCCATCGCACAAGATCCTGCTTTGAAGCGCTGTAGGGGGAAGAGGACTCTTTGTGTTTTTGTGTAAACAAACATTATTCGAGGGGGGGAAAAAAACAAAAAAAAACAAACCCAGAAGCAATTGCGTGTTGATCTCATCTGCCGGGGAAGTGGCACAGCTCCGATCCAACAGCTGAGGATTTGTTTTGTTTTACTCAGAGAACGAGTCCCATTAGGACTTCTTAATGGCGTTTCCACTCAGAGGAGTAGAGCTCATTAGCTGCGTGTCTAAAATCTGCCATTATGATTTTAATTGCCCGAGCAAGTACGCACGCTGCCCAATCAAAGTCGCCCGCTCGGCTTTGGCGACAGTGATGCAGCGGGCCATCAACGGCTCGTTTTCCCAAGGAAAAAAACGGCTTTTGAAATCCTCTGTGCGGCTCAGAGGTTCCACAGCTCACATACGCACGTAAAAAAACAAACAAAACAGTAAAAACAGCACTGTTCTCCAACACAACAGCTCATAATGGGAAACTTGAAAACACTTTCCTCAGATTTCTCTTGACTTGACATGGCATCAGCCATTGGATTGAGGGTTTTGGCTCATTTTAAGGCTTCTCCAGTTGCTCTCTCAGCTTTATCTGTTCTCTGGGAAAGCCAAACTGGCAACACACACAACACACAGCCTTTAAATAATTTTCAATAGATATTCAACCATCCTGACTTAGACCTATAAACCGTGAGGAGACACTACACACGTCCAAGAGTTTCTATTGTCCAAAAACGGAAGAAAAAATTCAGAAATCTGATCAAAATTACCTCGCAGACTGAGCCAAAACACACTCGGCTGATTGTGTTTCCACACACTCCGTCTGAACTAAAGATGAAACAATTGAAAAGCAACAGCTTGATTCCTCATCGTTGTTGATTAAGGCCAGATGACAACACGCGCTCCACCCGAGTGTGGAGCAACAAAGCCTGATTAATTATGGAGTGGCCTACCCTCGGCACTGATTGCCACTGTACAGCGCTATTAGTATTTAATGAGTATGGAAGCTTGGTTAAGGTTTTTCAGAAGCATTTCCTGGCACAGATCACACACGCAGCAAATTGTTGGGGTTTTCTAACCGTTTGTAAGGTCAGTTTGCGGTTCAAGTCAAAATGTCTGCAGTGTCGCACCTTGTGGGTCACTGTATTTAAACCAATTTCCATTTGGTTTTGTTTTAACATTCTTACATGTGGTATTGGATATCTTGTTGGTTATACTTTGGAAATGAATTACCTAATAATCAGTCAACTCCAAATATTTTGAGATTTGTACCACTTGATGATTAACCATGAACCATCCTCTGCTAGTTGTAACTTTCAAGCTTTCTTTCTACCAAATTTCCCTTTGGGGATGAATTAAGTAATCTATCTATATATCTTGGCTTAAAAAACAAACAAATCCCAATAACTTGATACACCAATACTGCTGCTATAAGTAAATGAGTGTCTTCTATAGCAGTAATAAACTTAAAGTAAAGCAAAGACTATTAAATAGACAA